ACATAGAACAAAAATTCTGACACCAGTGGTGACACTTGTCCTAACTTTTTCTTTATTTACATTTATTCAAAATTGTACATCTTTCTGTTGTTTATTTTCATGAAAATGAAATCCCAATTTTTCAATGTAGATGTTTAGACCCCACTGTATCTCCAAAATTGTAACTTTGTTGAAGGACTCAACTTGTTAACTGTTAATGGAAATTAATGCAATGAGATTTTATCCCAAGTAATTTTGGACCATTTCTATTGGTCTATTCATCATGAAATGCTCATGCAATGTAAAGGGTAGCTGCTGTACTACAATGATGTAGAAAAATAAAAACTGGAAGGGTACTAGGTTTTAATATGACAGAGATAATGTGCATCTTACTACACTCAGAACTGATAAAATGGCAATGTCTGACTCCATTATAGCATGTTATGATAATTAATAACCCACTACATTTTTGAATGTTCTTGCATAGTTTTTCAAAATGTCAGTAATAATATGTGCACTCCAGCAAAAATGTCATACATGTATGTGAAACTTGCTATAATGATGTTAGTGTTAATAGACAGTGAGGTGTGAGGCATGTGACTGTACGGGATAGGTAAGGAGGAACTGTAGAGGAAGAATTTTCAGAAGAGCAAACACAGAACCTGCCAATGTGTAAGCCTGATCTCCAACAAAAGTACTATGACCATGTATCTATGAGAAACACATTTGTGACATGTTATAATGTATTCACAAAGCATTATAAATGTGGCAAAGATTTATTAAATGAATTACACTTTATTGCCATGTACATAATGCAACATGTTATAATGTGCCAATATAATGTAATGTAACACAGAAAAGGTTTTAGTTTTAGTACTAGTTTGCTTTGGAACATAAGTTTAGTCTATATATCTCACAAGTACAACTTGTTTACAGATAATAGCAGAGAATCCATTGGCAGATCATTTTGCTTGTTTTGAGAGGTGATGCAGATAATTTTGCACATTTAGAAAAAGTATGTTTGAAACAAGTAAAATCGTCTGCCTGTGGAATGGGACAAAATGGGTAAAATGTCTTATAGAAATAAGCTACTCAATACTGTAACACTCTTACAGCAATCTCATGATTAGAAATATTTGATATATTGACTAGATTTAAGATGTTTTCACTTTGTTAGATATTAATTTTTACACGAACATTTTTATAAATATTTATATGAATACATGACAACCTGTTATGAATGTGTTAATGGACTTGGTAATCATAGAAAGTTACCCAAGCACCAAATGTCAGCTCAGTTTTATAAGCCCTGAAATGAACTAGCGCAGTTAAAGGAGGCAGTGGAGGAGGCCTTGTGTATAAGAACAAGAGCGGAAGTCTTTAATATGAAGATGGCTTGTAGGAGTGTGGCAAGGCCAGCTGATTTCATGTATGACCGGTTTTTCTTTAGATTCTCTAAGTTGGGCTACTGTGTGAATTCAAACACCTGAGATGACTTTTGTTTTGGCCCTCTCGCCCCTATCAATGTAGTTCGGCCATGGATGGATCGTATCTGAGCAAAAAGGAAAGCAACTAGTGAAGTGCATCTTGCACAGTTGTCTGAGAAAGATATGAACAGGAAATGAGACACACATGCAGATCAGTCGGTGGGCTGAGGAAGAATCGTATGCTGGCCCGGGATGCTGTGGGTTTTAAGTGGTGTTATTTTTGTCCAAGTGATTTGGAGTCATCTTGAGTGCAGCCAAACCTTTTAACGATCTACAGCGTAGGAGTGAAAAATCTCATTCTTCTCATTGTGCTATCTGGGATCCTGTACAGTTTGCACAGTTGTTCTGTTTAGAGCCACACCTTGACGTTAAACTTCTAGAAAGATCAGGATTACTTCTCTGAACTGATACAAATAGCTTTATTCAAAGTTAAGAACATTGCCCGTCTTGTTTTGCATGGAAAATACGCTAATGCTTCCGGAAGCTTATTTGCTCATGTGCTATAAAAGTGATTTGGCCACATCCCTGTGGTGTAATTACACTGATTCATTGTGTATATGAAACTGCTTCTGGCGCACCCTCAGATGACTAACTGTAGCTGTTTTCAGGGTGTCTTGCTCAAGATTAATGGAGTGAAATGTCAACAGTACCTACGATAAAATACATTGCCATCAATAAGGATGTTCTTGAAAGAAACGCCATATCTTACTGAAGTTAATGCAAGGTCATGGTTGGAATATTTATGTCCTGGCCACATATCTGAATTTCATTGTTTTTCAACCCATCAGTTTCTTCCATGTGCAGCATTTGTTTCAGGAAAGTCTGTGTTGCCCCCATGTGGTGGAATATCTGAACTGCAGTGTGTATGTGTGCTTATGCTTTGATTAAATCACCTGAATGAACTCAAATTAACATAATGATCACTATTGAATTTGGAATTCTCCTGAATTGTAATGATTCTTCATAATTCAGTTGTTGAGTTGTAAACAAGTTTGTTTTGATGTAAAGTGGAGCATTGTAAAGAAACTTCTACAATCTTAAAAGTAAAGGTGCAAGAAATAGTTCTTTTGTGCAGTGCCATAGAAGAACCACTTTTGGTTTCCTAAAGAATGTTTCAATACATAGAGAACCATTTCTGTAAATGAGATGTGCAAAGAACCTTTTAAAGGTGAAAGAACATCTACATGAAGCAAAAGCTGTAGGAAGAACCCTTAAAGGACCCTTATCATGGAAAAAACACACTTTTTTGATATATAGGGTTTGAAAGTTATAAATAAACATTTTCAAAATATGTTCAAGTTTCAAAATATACCTTTCAGTAGCCAGTCCATATGGTCCACATAGGGAAACTAAGCTGTAAAAACAGCCTGTTTTGAATTCATTGTTTCTTTGATGTTGTTTGATTAGCAGTTTTATTTCAGTTTTAAAGTCAAAGTAACACAAACAGTAACAGATTCGATTTTGCCTTAAAACATCCTGCATGTACTATAGGAACATATTTTAAAAAATACATTTTAAGCCAAAATCTCATCTCTAACTACTCTACAGATGAGACTACCATAAAGCAGTGTCTCAGGCATTAGGCAACAAAACCATTTCATGTAATAGCTTTCATGTGCTTTAGCTTTTAGAGGCATTAAGTGCTTTGGAAGTCTGCTTCCTATGACCACCGTGAACTATAATAACCCTACAATGGTGCATTTCATATCAAAACATTCTGAATGACTTTGTTTACATCTTTGTTTACATCAGAAATTCAGTGGAAATCCCCTTTAACAGTGGATGCACACTTGAGATGAAGCTGTTTACACCATACACAAATGCAATAACCATGGACAATGTCACAAATCAACTAACTGCCTTCTTTTACAGGATATTAACTCTACTAGCATAACAGCAACAACTGATTTAACATAGCTGACAGAGTTCACCGTGATTTCATAACTGTCCAGACCACACCTAACCTGCTAGGTGACCCTAAAGCTGACCTTCATGTCTGACCCAGTCTTCCTCACCTAGTCTCTCCCCTCTTTTCCTCATCACCCGTTCCTCTGAGGACCCCTGAGGGAGCTGGTCTGTGCCTGTAGAGATGAGCTCTCTCTAGTAGGTATTTTTTTAGTGTGCGCTCACCTTCTGCACCTGCATGATCCTGTTTGACGAGACCAGATTGACAGATTTGCATTCTAGACACTGATACTGATAAAGGCTTGGTTGAACACATTGCATTCCAAGGATATGTCCTAGTTACACTGTACACATAGCTGTGATCACATTGAATTTTGAAAGTGTGTGCTAACTCGCTTGCACAGTTTTGATAACTATAGAATAAATCAGTCCCTTATCAGCCACTGTCCAGTGCAAACGTCAAGTCTGGTCCTGCATGTTTTGAAGCCACCCTTTTCTTAAAACCTGTCTTGATCTCCCAGTATATAATGTTACATAGCTGGTGGTAGGCAAATAAAACGCCTCTGAGACAGAATTCTTAATGTAACTCAAGACTGCTGTAATCAAGACTACCTATTGTCAGAAATATTAAACCTCCACAGGATGTGTAATGAATCCACAAAAAGGATTCACTTGTTGCAGATGTGAATGCTTAAGGTTGGTGGTGATATGTTACTGAGCTAATGCCCAAATGCTTCAAATCACGGGCCTGTCTCACGAAGCACATTACGTATAGATAGAGTACCTGCATGTTTATCAAAGAGGGAAAAAGAAATTGGCAAAACTTTCTATGAAGTCTGTATTCATAAGCCGTTGCAAATGCTTTGTAACTTGGTAGCGATGTTTTTTTAATACGGCTTTTTTTTAATACGTTTTTTTTTGCTTCATGCGGCTCTAATAATGATCTTTCATGAAATATTTGGTGGCATGTAGTAACACAAGTGTGTACATTCATTTTGATGTTTAGAAAGCACTTATAATCATAAGTTATTCACAATTCTAAAAACATTATACAGATTTAAAATACCATCTCTGAGTGCTTCAAGTAACATAATTGGAATTTCATGTTATTATTTGTTACGAATAAATTATAGAATAAACTTATGAAGAATTTAAAAAAGGCCCAAAGCCATCAGAGAGCAGAGGCCAACCTTGAGCTGTTTAATAATACAGTCCCAAACTTACCTGCCCTTGAGCGGGTTAGGTTTACAGCAAGTTACAGTGCTGATATAGCCAGGTAAAAAGTGATCAAACTAAAAATAAATGTGACTCAGCATGAAATCCTGCTTTGTAAGATAGGCCCCAGATGCATGGCCTTTACAAAAAAAGTGCTTCAATAACACATCTGTACATGCTTGGTTATCATCTGGCTTACGTTATTATTTGGCTTATGCTATTATCATGGACTTACAGCTGGTCTTATGCAATTCCCATGAATTTCTGAGATGTGTTGGGACATGAGCACAGAGCTGGCATGCATTGTACTTGTTTTGCATGCGGTGTTTGTCATGCCAATGTTAAGGCTGGATGGAGACAGGACAACAGTTTTGGAAACTAATCGCTTCCTCTTTCTCTCTCTTTCTCTTTCAGGTGTGGTTTGAAAAAGAGGACGAGGAAGAGGAGGAGGACGAGGAGGAGGGAGGAGGAGACCTTAAGGGCAGTATTGCTTTCTGTTTGCAGGTAGAACACGCCGGCACTCGTACGTACTACTTCAGTGCCGACAGCCTGGAGGATCAGGAGGAGTGGATCCAAGCCATGAGTGAGGCCGCCAGGATCCACATCTTACCCCCAAATAGGTACACATGCACTACATTTACATGCACAGAATCAGCTTTCGGGGGGGAGCTTAGATCCCCTGAAAACAGTAAAAAGTTTAGGGGAGCATTCATGCTATTTTTATGCCATGCCATTTATGTGGCATTGGTTTATGTGAAAAATCAAAATGAGATCAAATGTAACTCCAGAGAGCCACATCTCTCCTCTGTGCTGGCTCTTCTCAAATAAGGCAGGAGTTTCGCCATTCCAAGTTGAACGTAAAATAAAAGTGCGTGCAAATTTGAAGTTGTCCTGCGAGAGCCTGTTTGTTTCTGTCCTGTGGTTTTATCTGCGTAAAGGTAGGCAGATGGGATAGTTGGTACATGTTGTATTGTTTGTTATTGCTCAAAAGACAGTCATATTGTTAAGCTTTGCTACCTTTTAACTTAATTCTAGAACAAATGCGCATGTGTGCAGGACTTTGTGTTCACTTGTTTTGTGTTGCTGTAATCACATGTAGGTAATGGTGTACTGGTGTATATGCAGGCATACCTGTGCATCCAAGGAGCTTGATTTCCCATATATAGTACTGTCCTAGGCCTAGGTCTAAGTCCTAGGCACTTGAGCCCCTTGTTAGAAGCCATCAGATTAAAAGTAATTAATTTCAACCCATTTGTTTTGGCAGTTAGTGTGCTTCTGCTTAGAAAAAAACACCATAGAATAAATGCAAATAAACGTAGATACGGTAACAAGTAGCAAGGATTTCTTGTTTTCAAAGAAGTAGTTGATATCTTGTAAGCTAGTTTTGAAAAGTTAGGTTCAATGCCACCAATCATAGCATAGATTAGTTCAAATTTACCACTTGATTCCACATATTAAATATTAGCAAGCTAGCACCGTTAATGTAATTCCTAGGCAGTAGCCTAGGAATCAAGTGAAAACATTAAATCATGTTATTTGAATCATGAAACATTGACAGCATATGGAACACCACCATCCACTTTTGGATCCAGCAAAGCAGTTTTGAGATGCGTGTCTGATTATATTCTCTCATTGTTCATTCCATTCCTCCCTCTTGTAACTTACATGCCCTAGTAGCAGTTTCTGACCTGACCTTTGGTGTCCTTGTTTGTTCTGCAGGCCAAACTCAGACTCAGTCCCACCAGAAGAACAGAACCACATCATGGTGGCAAAAAGACCAGAAGTACAGGACAATGGTGATGATACCCCAAGACCTGAGCTACCAGAGCCTGCCAAACATGGTGTCAATGGAGTGGACACCAGAGAGACTCCCACCCTCACTACTCCCCTGCCCCCAGACGTGGGGGAGAGGGGAGGGCCGCCTCCTCACCATCCCAATGGATGGGGTAGCTACGGCCCACCTAACGGTTCTGGCTATCCGTCACAGGACAAAATAAGAGAGGTGAGGGAGGTGCAGCCTGAGCCCCAGGAGAATGTGGTGCTGCGGAGGGGCTTTGTGCCCAGGACTGCACCCGAGAGGCTGGCTCAGAGGAAGAGTTCCATGACCCAGCTCCAGCAGTGGGTGAACCAGCGGCGAGGCATGGCCGCTCAGGAGGACCTGCGCAGGTGAGGAGAGAGAGCAGGGTAGGAAAACTAGGAAAGGAGATGTTTGGCTTTTAAAGGGCACGTATCATGGAAAATAGACATTTCTTCACTTAAAGTCTTCTTATAGTGTGTAAACACGGTGACATTTTTAAGTCTGTATAAAATTTTACAGTTCACATATGGAAGAAGCTGCAAAACCATTGTTTTTTTTTTTTAATGTAACTGCCCACAGCATAATGGACACCTAAAATATTGTGCAAAAGATTATAATAAAGTGCTCTGGAAAATGTTTAGTTCACCCAATTATTGCTTTCCTGTCTTCCTCTACAGTTCATCACGCTACTACACAGTGAACCGAGGCATGTCAGCTGACTACTACGGCATGTACGGTGGTCCTCCTTATGTAGAGGAGTACCCCCTCTATCCTCCTGGCGTCCGTCCTGAAAGCATCTGCTCCATGTCAGCTGCATATGACCGGACGCCCCTGCGCTGGACAGCAGAGGAAAAGCGGCGGTCGCTGCGGGACGGCGTGATTTATGCTCCACCTCGGGAGCCTCAGTGGATGGGACCTCCTGGCTCGCACCCCGGGTACTACTCTCAGCTAGAGTCAGCTCAGGGCTCCATGAGGCGTCTCTCGCTTCAGCCGCGCTCACGCTCCGTACCCCGTTCGCCCTCTTCTTGTTCAGGAGGGCCGTACTCACCAGGACCCCATAACTTTGTCTCACCTGCACGGTCACCCAGCACTCGCTTCGACAGAGTGCCGGGGCGGCTCAGAGAGGAAGGAGTCTATGCTGATCCCTCTGTCTATGGCCTGCGAAGATCCCTCAGTTCCCCCAAAGTAAGTTTGATTACCACTAATTGATGGTCTTTAGAGTACTGGGGAAAATTAGGCCAACTGAGAAATTGATACTTAAAGCTGTTTATCTGGGGCGCAGATGTTTATAACCATTAATACAACAAATTGGAACCATTTCCAAACCTGTGCTTGAGGTAGGCCAGTACTTGTGTCTGATTGAGTAACAAACCCACATGATTGCTAAGGAGCAATGAGGCAAAGAGGGGCCAAATCTGGGTTCTTCTAACCATCCCACAAGATAAGCTTATCTTTCCTGAAAAAGAGAAATTCATGTTTGTTCTTTATTATTATGTATTGTTCTAATGTTATGTAGAGTTTTTTACAAATAAAAACACAATTTCCCAAATACATTTCTTGGCTGGCCTCAGAATTTTGCACAGTACTGTAGTTGGGTGCTGCATGCTTCATATTCCAGGTAACGCCCAATTCCAAAAAAATTGGGACAGTATGAGAAATGGGAATAAATACAGAAACCACTAATTATTAAATTCTGTTTGATCTGTATTAAATTGAACACTATACAAAAACATGGTATTTGATGTTTTACCCTGTGAACTTTTTTTTGGTAAATGTATACTCATTCCAAGTGTGATGCCTGCAACACATTCCAAAGTTTGGACAGGAGTACATAAACAGCCCTTAATAAATGTCTGGGGACTAAAGACACCAATTGATCCAGTTTTGAGAACGGAATTTTTTGACCTTCTTCAGTTACACAACCGTATGATGTTTTTGTTGTCATATTTTGCACTTCATAATGCACCACACGTTTTCAATAGGAAACAGACAGGCAAGTCCAGCACCTGCACCCACCGATTACGCAGCCATATTGTTGTAACACATGCAGAATGTTTCTTGGTGTTGTCATGTTGATATAAGCATGGACGTCTCTGAAAAGGACAGTGTGTAAATGGCAGCATATATTCCAAAATGAATATCTTTCAGCATTAATGGTGCTTTTACAAATCTACAGGTCACGGGCACTAATGCACCTCCAAACCACGACAGACTCTGACTTTTAAACTTCACACTGTTAACAGTCCAAATAGTCTTTTTTGGTGTTTGTCCCAAAGAACACAACATAAATTTTCTCCATAAACAATTTGAAAGGTTGACTCACCAGACCACGATACAGGTTTCCGTTATGCATTAGTCCATTTTAGATGAGCTCAAGCTCAGAGAAGTTGGCAGCGTTTCCGGGCATGACTTGCAATGTGCAGTGTTTATTGAAAGCAGTTTGTTAAAGTATTCCTAAGCCCATGCAGTAATATTCATCGCAGAAGCATACCGGTTTTTAATGCAGTGCCATTTGTAGTCACTGCAGTCACTGACATTCAGTTGTGGTTCTTGGCCTTTTTTTTTTTACACACAGATTTCCACTCCATTGACACCATGTTTGGCAGGCTCTGGTAGCTCAGATCCAAAATCCCTGAATCTTTTGATAATAATATGCACCATAGAGGGTGAAATACCTAAAATCCCTACATACACCTGTTGAGGAATGTTGTTCTTAAACAGGAGATTTATTTGCTAATGCATTTTTCTGTCAAAGTGGCGAGTCATCCTTGCTCATAAAGGGCTAGGCCTTTCCTGGGTGCTCCTTTTATACCCAAGCATGATCTCTTTTAAAGTGTCTTCTGACCATTTCATATTCCTAGTCTTAAACTGTTAATAAGATAAAAAAGTTAATCAGATAAAACATCTTGTCTTTGTACTGCTATTGTTTAAATATAGGTCAAATTGGATTTACAAATCACTGTTTTCTGTTTTTATTTGCATTTCACTTACTGTCCTGAATTTGTTTTAAATTGGGTTTGAAACGAGCAACACCTAATTAGCTACATAAAAAAGTGTAGCTTCACTCTTCATGCAAGACTGTAAGGGAAACTCCCCTCAATAATTGCTAACAATTTTTATTTTCTAGCTTACAAGAGCAATATTGGAGAGCGTGCTAATTCGTGCTATTCCCATGTACTTAACCCCTTAACCCCTGGGCTTATTATTCAGTCTTTACACACAATTGGGCTAGCTTCTGTCGCTAAAACCTCCTCCTTATTAGACGTGTAAACCTACCCTTTAACCTTGAGAGGCTCAATGATTTCCCTGGTTTGATTAATGTAAAAAAATGGCCTGCATGCATATTTTGTCAGTTCTCAAATATGTATGTCTGCACTGAACATACTGTAAAGCCAGTTTAGTTTTAAATGAAAAATGTTTCGAAATGTTCTTCACTTCTAAATCAACCTAATGTACTGCTGAACGTCTTAATCGGGTAGTACAAGTGTTACAGATTCTACTGACAATGTGATGGATATTTTGTAGACAGTATATACTTCCATGGTTAACTCATTTTCTGTTTTTCTAACCTGTTTCTTTCAGTATGATTTTCCTGGAGATCGGCGGTCTCTCAGTCAAAGTATGCATCACTACAACTACCCAGCCTCTCCCTCGCTACATGGCAAAATGGTACGTTCCAGTAATTCAGTTTATCTTTATAATCACACTTAGTTCAGTCAGTTTATGATAGACGTTGCTACAGACCCATCACCACGCACGTGGCTTGTTGCAGTCTGAACTACACACACGCTGTTTGCGGTGGCTTTGCTGGTGGAGGTGTTTGACTGACAACTGATCATGTGTTTGTATGTGTGTGTGTGTGTGTTTGTGTGTATTTGTGTGCCCTGATATCTGTGTGTGGTGTTGCTGTTTTGTTGTTTTTCTGTCTGACTCTCTGTATGACACTCTCTTTCTCTGTCTTGCTCTCTCTGTCTGCCTTTCTCTCTCTCTCTCTCTCTCTCTCTCTCTCTCTCTCTCTCTATGTCTGCCTCTATCCCCCTTTCTCCCTGCCTCACTTTCTCTCCCCCCTTTCTCTCCCTCTTTCTCTCACACTCTGTCTTGTTATCTCTCTCCCTCTTTGTCTGTTTATCTCTCTCTCTCCCTTTGTCTCTCTTCTCTCTCTCTCTCTTTTTCTGTCTCTCTCTCTCTCTCTCTCTCCCTCTTTCTTTCCCTGTTTTGTGTCTGCCTCTCTGTCTCCCACACTCCCCCGCTTCTCTCTCTCTTTCCCTCCCTATTTGTATTTCACTCTGTGTTGTACTATGTCTCTGTATTTCACTCTGTAACTGTTGGTGTCCATCTGTGTCTGTCTGTCTGTCTGTGTGTGCGTCTGTCTGTCTGTCTGTCTGTCTGTATGTGTGTGGTGGGGATGCTCTGCTGTCGTGGTCGTGCTGTGTGCTGCTTCTGGTGTGACTGACTGGCCTCAATATTGCTGCTGCTCCCGCCGCTGCTGCTGCTGCTGCTTCTTACTCCAGGAGGATATTTTAGACCTCCAGCTACAGAGAAACCTGGAGTATCTTGATCAGCAGGTATGTGGCTTAACCAAGCATCGCACAGCCAGCACAAAAACCCTGCACACAGCACAGCTGCACTAAACCTTTGCACTGTTTAAATAACAGCAAGGAATCTTAAAGGAGTTCTCCAGCATTTTTTGACCTATTCTAGTCTCCTTCATCTGCACCGTATGGTCAGTCACCACAGTCAATAATTTGAAAGCACTTCCTGTACTTAACAATAGAAAACCTCTTTTAATAGAAGTCAGTGGGCACTCCAGTCATTTTTTTTTTAAATGAAGGTGTATAATTTACTGTTCGTGGTCAGTGACCATATGCTGCAAATATAGCAGACAGACTGAAGCAAAACCTGGAGTCTTCTTTTGAAATGTAGTGGACATTTTTCAGGCTGTGTTCAACGTGATCATACACTCTGTTTCACTCGCAATTGTGTCATACAGTGCCACCCTCACTATCACTGTCTTTCTCAGACTCCTCCCCTTTGTGTGGCTGCTCATTTCAAATTCAAATGACATTGTCCTCAAGAAGTACTAATATATGTGCAGAACACTAATCCAGCTAGCAGGGAATTTTCCCATAACTCTGACTAACATTACATACAAGTTCTAACAATGTTTAAAGAAAATCTGATGTTCAAAAACATTTTAAGGATTTTTATCATTTCAAATGATGTTCCTGTAAGATTACATGTTAACTAAGACATAATGTTATAACTGCAACATTCAGAGGATGTTTTGAAGATTTTGTCATGGCCACAGATTATGTTACATGATGATGTTTTTGAGAATGCTCCCAGAACATCACACAAAAAAAACTCCCAGTAGGTGTAATGTTCTCAGAACAGTTTTAGAACAAAACATTTCTAGCTGGGAAACTAGTTGGGTTTGGGTTTGTCAGTGTTTAAAGTAATGTTTTGGTAAAAAATAACATTTACACAATTTTCCCCTTACCTCAAATGTAGTCAACCAGCCAAGTCATGATTGCTGTTTAAAGTTTTGCTTTTTTAGTTTTGCACCACAACTATGAAGCTAATGTAGCTAACAAGTAGGAGTTTGAGTTAACTGTTAGCATCACACACATTACATGCCTAAACCATCACACATTTGTCTCAAGCTATACCGAGCATATCAATACTAATTTATGTGGTTTCTGACATTGTATGTTGCGTGGCTAAAAACTGTAGAAGCAGCCACCTGGAAGCCAGGATTCTATACTTTAAAATATTTAAATATTTCAATATTTTTGCTATTCTGTAAAAATGAGTGCATTTTTGTGTATAAAAATGCATTTACAGACTAATTACACAAATGGATTACATAGGAACCCATTCATTGTGGACTCACTTGGGAGTGCCCTCTACAGTCTGTCAAATCTGGAAGACCTGAACTTCAACATATGGAATGCTTTAAGTGTGAGGGTCACTTAGACATTTTAACATCCTGTCAACAGTAACAATTGGACAACAGAGCTCAGAAATGGAGGTCCAAAATCAGGCACCTAACAACTGTACCCATAGGCTTCCGTTACTACCTGTTAGCTTCTGTTACTACCATAAGCTTCCATTGCTACATTAGCATTATGTAGTTTATTGCAAAATCAAAGAAGTTCAGACACCAAACATGTCTTGGCTGAACGAAAAAATTTGGGATAAGGGGAAAAATGATTGCCAAACTATCAAATGATCACTTCATGGCCAAAGGATTCATTGTAAATTTTTAAAAGATAAGAAAAATTTAATCCCAAATCAGAGCACTTACAGTGAGAGTTGCTTAAGGACCATGGCTTCCTCAGCTGCCTGGCACATCAGCCCAAAAAAGACACTCAGTAAATGACAGTGTGTTTGCTCCCAGGTAATGGAGGGAGATCACCTAATCGGCATGGTAACCCGAATGGTTGAGCGCTCCTCTCCAAGCGCAAGGCTTTTCTCACAAGTAAGAGAGACTGGAGTGGCTTAGAGAGGCAGGCTCCTGTTCATGACTCTTTCAGTGGGCCCTGTCCAACATATCTCCCAGCACAGGCTCTCATTTGAGCCTCTCGCTAGCCTTGCCAAAGCTCAAATGAATCCTGTGCTGATATGAGTTTGGAAAAGCCCAGTGACCAACATGGAGCCCGGCTCTCTCCCTTGCTCTTTGGTAACGTGGCATGCTGGATGTTAGGTGGTGTTGCAGGAATAGCTTTTATAGCTGTTTTTTAAAGGTTGTAATTTCTTTTTCCTTATTGCTCCAAGTGAAGCCATGTCAATGTCTGTTTTATTTTTGTGTTGCTGTGTTTCTTGGTTCACCTCATTTCCACGTATCGAGTTCCATTTCTGGTAGCCATGTTCTGTGTCACATTCTTCATTTTGCAAGCATTGTATGTTCCATAACTTTGTGCTGTTTGTATATGTGTCATATCTGTGATCTCGTTCATCTTCTACCAACTAACACTACGACCATGAACCAGCATATTGTATTTTCATAATGGGGCTAATCATTTGCACAGCATATGGGAATGGCTTGTGCTGCTGCATAAAATAAGTGCTTAATTTTCTGTATGTGTGACATTTGTCAGTACCGTTGGTGCCTGAATGTTGAATTTAGTGAATTTGTTGTAAAGACTACTCAAATATTAATTTCATTTTGCCTTTCGTCTGTTCTTGTTCTAGGTGCCTCCATTCCATGATATCTACAGGGATCTGCATCCCACACTAAAGCTCAATGAGATTGAGACCAGCGTAAGGCTTGCCCCTGATCTATAGTCATAATCAGGAACTTACACAATACCTGATGGTGTTCTTCATCTCTGTGATCAAGTAGGTATTTCCCATCTTTGACTTGTGTTTTTTCTGTGCGTAGAAACTGCTGAGTCGCTTATGTGAGCAGAACAGGCTTTTGAAGGAACAAGAGACTGTTGTTCATCGACTGCGGATGGATAAGGTATGCTAAGTCCTCCTTTTAACCTCCACACATCATCTTCTAGAGAGGACATACTCTGTATAATCCTCTTCTCCTGCTTGCCTGTCTTTATACTTTGCAGGATAACCTGGAGGGGGCGCTGGTGGCCACACATCAAGAGATGGAACTGTACAGGACTCAGCCGCTGGCATTGGAGAAGCTGCAGCTGAAAAAAGAAAGCTTACAGAACCAGCTTATCAACATCCGAGGAGAGCTCTCGCAAGCTTCCAGCGTAAGCCAGGCTCTAAGTAGTAATGCTTTACAGAGAGATTAAGAACAAAATACAGAGGAGATAAAAAAGAATGAAGTAAAAGAATTACGTTTAAATGCAGTATTACAGGGATGCGGGTTGATGTTTTAAGTTTTTTTTATTATTATTTGGTAATTTACATGAAAACGTATCATAACATGCTAAAATGTGGTTAGAGACGACAATATGCACATGTGATCAACACGGAAACCGCTGATGCGGATGCTGCTGCCTCTGCTCTCTCTTCCTTGACGTGTGAGAGCTGAGTGTAGACCAGTCAAATTGTTGATAAGATGTGCAGAACCCACTTGTATCACACCCATAAGCATGTGCTCATCTAATGGGAGATTATTACAATCTTTGACAAAAAATGGATATATATATATATATAGAATATATATATATATATATATATATTCTAAGTTCTCTTCTTTTGTTATTTCTCTGTTATTGCTTTTATCAGTTAAACAGTCCTGCAATCTGGGAGGGCTGCAGCCTCCTCAGCACCTCTACTTCTCACATCCCTACAATATTAAATTATAAATTATTTATAGTAAATTATAAATTATTTATAGTATTTAAGGTGTTTTAGTGTAAAAAGTTAAAGTGTCACATTCTTACACTGTGCACAGAGCACTGTACTATTTTCCCTGCTTTAACACTAATTAACAAGCCTATAATATTGAGCCAGCTGTGTTACAGTAAGTGCTAAGTAGTGTATATGTAATCAGTGCTGCTGACTGTAGGATTGAATTTGACACCCCAGTTCAGGGGCAAAAAGTACTTAGTAAAAAGTAGCAGTGTAGAGCAGTACTGGTCCATAGTAATGACTTTATGGCCATAGAGATTACAGTGCTAAAAATGAATAGTAGAAAGTGTGCATTTTTGCAAAAACTTTGCCCGTTCTGGTAATGTTAAGTGCCCTCATTTATGGTCATTGTAGAAGGCTTAAACTAAACCCTGATCTTCTTAGGCTCTGACTACATCCAGAATGGAGTTTGAGGCTCTGGAGGACGAGGTGAACGCTATTCATGGTGACCTTTGGGAGCAACTTAACTCTGGAGGACAGGTACACTCATCATCATCATCTTCATTAAACTCATACTGATGACTTCAGACCTTTGTTCTTCAGGATTTCCCATTTAAGCCTAGTCATTTATTTATGAGCACACGTTTGTATCATCTCTTTTAAATGGCCTGCTCATTAATGAACTGTGTTTTTGCAGTGACATGACAGTTTAATTCCAGTGACTGATTGCTTCCTGTAACAGCTCTAATACGGTTGGCTCGGAGTGTTAAATAGAACAGTGAATGCTATTGTAATAAGAAACACTACTGAACTGACCTTGATGATGGGGAAATGTAATATTAGAAACCTATTATACGGAAATTACACATTTAATATGTTGGATAATTAAAAAAGGACATCTTCACAGTTCAGTGGGAAGTTCTACATATAATTAAATATTGATTAGCATATGAGTCTCTCATTACTAATTCATGAACATCAATACTCATCTCCCTGAAGCTTCTGACAGCGCTTATGAATAAAGTATGTGTTTGCTGCTGATATTGATGATGGATTATGCCTTAAATGGAGAGTTTACATGCTCTGAGTAACTGGTTATTTGTGATAAAGGAAGAGTTTGGGGAAGAATCTCATTGACTTATTTACAGACGTGGTCGATCAGCCAAGGTATGTTTGATTCTTGAGGCTAATGTAGCTAACAAATAATGGAAGCTTATACCCACAAATATACTGTATGTTGTGCAAACTGCATGCCTAAGTCATCACATACATACGTCAAACTATGCTGAGTTGTTAAATAATCTCAAATAGACTTGTTTATTTGGTTTCTTATGTTGTATGACATTTTTGCAACATTTATGTGTCCATTTTTATATTTAACACTATGTAAAACAGTGTCAGAAACCACATAAGCAATGCTTATGTCATATTACATAGCAATTGCAGGTTTGCATGATGCTTGCTGAGTAGACTCCTAGCTCTAGCTCTAGCAAAACTACAAAACAAACTTGGGAACAAACACTTCTTGGCTGATTGACCATGTTTGGGGTAAGGAGAAAATGTTGTACATTTTTTTTTATTTTTCTGCTCCTTTAAAAAGGTCTTGAAGGGGAATGCCACTGATTTTTAATAATTTCAGTGTAATTCAATTGTTGAGATGTGAACAAAGTCATTTAGGGTGATTTGATGTGAAATATTGCATTGTAGAGAAACTTACCAACTCCAATTTCTTTACAGTGGTGCTGATAGGACCCAGGGGCCATAATATCTTCACCACAAATGTAGCTATTTCATTTACTATAAAATAAAATAGCTACATTTGTACTTAAGTTTTTTGTTTATAATGTAAATTTTTGCTGTGAACAGCTCTGACTCAGTTTCTCTTCAACGGTGCGTCTCACGTCAAACCACTCTAAGTGACTTTGTTGACATCTAAGTGCGTTACTTATGATGATATATTGAAAAATCTGTGGAATTCTCAGTTAAATACTTTAGGACCTTGACACAAAAAGAGGTAATATAAATCTGAAATTGCATACAGCTATTCAAAAATTAGTCTTCTCCTGTCTTTTCCCAGAGTGAACTGGTCCACCAGCACCTGCAGAGAGAGTTCTGGAGGGTTCAGGATGTGCTCGAGGGTCTGCACAAGAACAACCCATCCCGAGGCACAGATACAGCCAAGCACAGAGGTCAGCCCACTGTCCTCAGGCTACACCAGCCTAGCTTGCACAGACCTTGGTATAATCTTATTTATAGTATCGACTTCTGCATCGGAGCACGGAACTATACTAAGTTATTACTGCGTTTGACGCAAGTTGAATTATTCAGAGACCTTTTGTTTTCGTCCGCTCCCTGTTGAGCTTTTTCTTTGTCCTCAGCAGCCAGTGGGACATCTGGTTCCTTCAGCACGAACAGTCCAGCCAGCCCCCTGAGCTCTGTGAGTCTGACCAGCCCCCTCAGCCCTTTCTCCCCAGTACCTGGCTCGCAGACCTCACCCACAAAACAGCTGGCCACAGAGGTAAGCTGCAGTGTAGTACAATATCACACAACACAAAATGATATCACACAATACAATGCAAATCAGTACAGCATTAGACTGTCTTCACACTGAACACTGATGTGACTATCTGAAGCTTCGCCCCAGTTCATGTCCTATTGACTGACATGAATTTAATATGTTCCATCAAAAGTTTAAGAGATCATAATTTTCAGGCAGTTCCATATATTGGTGTCTGTTGCCTATTACTGCACAGTTCTTGTTGAAATCAATAGTACCAGTACACTTCGTTGGATAGGAAATGCCTTTGTGAACACTGCCTAATGCTGTCTCAACTTTTGAATTTAGTGAGGTTTATTTTAGAGTTTTATTCGGTACAAATGTATATACACTCACTGGCCATTTTATTAATGTCCTTGTATCTTTTATCAGGTCCTATTACTATGTACTATATACATGTAATTCTACAATTACACACTGTCCTGTTCATGAATGGTCCGGACCCCGATTAGGACAACCACTGAGCAGGTATCATTTGGGTAGTGGATCATTCTCAGACCTGCGTCGACACTGAGATGGCAGTGGCGTTAGTGAGTGTTGCGCTGGTACGATTGCATCAGACACAGCAGTGCTGCTGGAGTTTTTAAACACTGAGTCCACTCACAGTCCACTCTATTAGACACACCTTCCATCTTGGTCTACCTTGTAGATGTAAAGTCAGAGACACTAGGTCATCTGTTGCTGCACAGTTTGTGTTACCGAGCTGCTAGTCCTTTATCAGTTGTCAGTTTCTGGCCACAGGACGCTGTTGGGTTAGATGTTTTTGGTTGGTTGGACTATTCTCAGATGCATTCTGTGGTGCTGAGAATAATCCACCACTCAAATAATACCTTCTCAGTGGTGGTCCTGTGGTATAATTAAACAACTGGAAGTGGACCTGATGAAATCAACCAGTGCAGATACAAAACACGTTTACCTAATAATGGCCAGTGAGTGTATATACAAAGCTGCATTTGTAAGAATTGTAAGACTATGCAATACGCAGTGCAATGCGTAAAACTCTTTGCTCATTTCATTTCGTTTATCCAGATTCATTATGCTGTTTCCTGATTCAGATCTCATGCCGTTTGTTGAATTACTATTAAGTAAATTGTCCCAGTTGGACTCCTAATTTGAAACTAATTGGTGCTCCTCAAGGCTAACCTCCACCATAAGGACTTTAACATTTCCTAAAATTACATTCACTACTCAGAGTTTTTTTTTGCTTAACCTCATCAGCTGATGAATATCATTCAGTGAGCTTTATCTAACAGTGACTGTGACAAAATGCATGAAGGTTGTCTTTTTGCTCTAATGACATGTTGCCTGTCTTCTCGATGGCTGTGACCTGTGACCTTGGTTTGCCTTAGCTCTAGGCTTTCTCTCATGCTTGCTTGTGTGCGAGTGCTAGTTTTTTTAATAGACAAATCCCTTCCTTGCAGATAATCTCCAGTATGGTTTTACCGTTTTTTTTTGTTTTTTTTTAAACATCTAGTGAACTGATCTGCACATTTTATTTTTTGAGCAAGAGAATATATTCACATACCCAAACACAAATTACCTTGTTTATTGAGACAAATATAATCATGTTTGTAATGCTTAGATACTCAACTGGCAGTAATTCGATTTTTAGAAGTGCAGGTTTGTGTTGGTGCCATATGTGCAGGTCAGTGCATGCCGGTGGAGGCGCGTGACCTTAGTGAAGGAGTCAGGGCTCCATTTCTTTATAAAAAAAAACCCAGAATATCACATAATCCTCTCCGCTCTCTGGCTTTTAGTCACTCCTCTTGATGCACACCTTTCTTTTCCTGTCCTCCCTCTCTCTTCCTCTCCCTGTTCATCTCTCACTACCTTCTACCTCTCTCCTTTTCTCTCTCTCTCTTTTCCCCCTCTTTCGTACTCTTTTTGGCTTTATCTCTCTTTCTCTTCCTCTCTTTTTCTCTCCTTCTTTTTCTTTTCTTGATTTTTTTCTGTCGTCTCTGTATCTTTCTCTTCTCCTCTGTCTTTCGTTTCTTCTTTTTCACGTTCTCTCTTTATCTCCCTCTCTTTTTCTCTTTCACTTTTTGTTCTTGACTCTTTTTCTGTCATTTCTATATCTCTTTCTCTTACTTTATCTCCATCTCTCCTTTCTCCTCTCTCTTTTTTCTCTACCCCTTCTGCCTTTATCTTCCAATCTCTGTCTTTCTCTACCTCTCTCTGCTTTCCTTCCCTTCTTCGCCTTTTTCTTCCTGACTGTTTTTCTGTTCCTCTCTCTCTCTCTCTCTCTCTCTCTCATCCTTCCTTACCGTTCCAGGACATTGGCCCCCCTCGGCCTCCACTCCCTAAGTCTTACCAGCCCCTGGAGTCTACCCCGTCCATGCCCCCCTCTGTCCCTCCCCTCCCCTTCGACAGCAATGCGTGGCTCCGCAGCATGGACGCCTACAAGGATGACGAAGAGCCTCACAGCCGAAAGGTATCTGAGAGAAGGGAAATCATCCAAGCGAGAGGAAAACAGGCTTTTGTCCCTAATGCTGGAGCCATTGCCACCCCTAAACCCCTCCAGATAGGCAGTTTTGTCCTTTGTCTTAGTGCCCCCTCTGAACCATCAGCCCTCGGCCTTGTCTTTTCAGCTGCCCCTTCATCATTGCCCATCAGTGGTGTCACGTCATTGTCCACTCACTCTCACTCATCTCCATCTCCAGTGCTTCATTTTCTTCCCTCACTGTCTCTTGCTCTGCTTGCCTCTGTTTGTCCCGGCATTGATATATCATCTCTGATCAATTGTAATGAGAATAATTACTTAAAGCTAATGTTAGCAGGCTATCAAAGCATTTTGTGGATATTAACAGAGCAAAGGTTGTGTGGTATCCCTTTGTTTGCTCTCATCCCAACCAACACTACTATTATTATGATGAACATTAGAAAGCAGTTAGTTGCTTCACAACTACTAGTCTTGTGATGCCAGACGTGATTGCCAAATGAGAATACACATCTCAAGACAACTTTTAATAGTAGATGGTGGCGAAGTCTGCCCCTAACAAGGCTTTTCTTCTAAAGCCCACCTCCCCATTTCTCCAGTCTGGGCACATTTAGCGTTCAGATAATCTACAAAACAAGCAAAACAACATCTTGCTATCTAGTGAAACATAGCAAAGTGTCTACAAACATAACAGCCAGTTTTTTCTACATCGTATTTACTCTGGCTCAGCTGTGAGTGGCTATTTGGGTAGTGATGCTACCTTACATGCATGGCACTAACAACAAACTTGTTGTCAGTTGGACAATATGTACAAGTGCACCATCACTGCTACTCTGATGCTTTGGATCAAAAGATTCCAATTTAGTAAGCTTTAGTATGCTTGGGCTTGTTCCAGCTAAACTGCGCTTTGCCTTGCTGGCAGGTTTGAATAGTTGAATAGTAGTAGACAGGCTACAACCTGCACCCCATGTGAGCCAGCATTTGTGTATAATTTCTTTGAGGAGCACATGTTAATTAAATAATATGTCAAAAGATTAAACAGAAACACTCCGCATTTTAAGAGCCTACATACTATTTTCAGTAGATATTCTATATTCTATGTTCAGTTTGCACCTACATGGTTGTTGGTGTAGCATTAAGCTGAACTCTGGTCCTGGGGGGCTATGGCCCTTCAGATTTTAGTGCTTTCCCAGCTTTAACACACCCACTTCAACACAGTAAGGGGTTGTTAATGATCCTTAAATTACTAAAATATTCAGGGCAGTGGGCCTCCAATCAACTAGAACACCGGTCTAGCCAATGAGGATTAAGCTCTGTTGTCATAAAGCCATCTCTCAGCTTACTCAAATGTGGTGCATAGCTATGAAAGCTGCAGTTGTTTTGCTCCCGTGAAATTAACATAACTAGTGTCATCATGATGTGCCAATCTAACCAGCATATATTGTACCAGTCACCGTCTGCTTAGGCCTGCATACAGGCAAACAAGCCTGTTGGCTCCTAACGTGTATTCTCATTACAAGATCACATCTGGCTCTGCAGGACTACATGCCTACTAGCACTTTCTCGTTACCCAGCATAGTTTATGTGTATATCATCACTGTCATATCAAAACCTCGTAACTCCATTCTTTTTGTTATTTTATATAAATATAATATTTGAATCAAATCAGTCAGTAGATATGAACTAAATTTGCTTGGAAAAAAATCTTGTTGCATTAATGTTAAGAATATTTCTTTTTAAATTGGTATCATTTTGGAGATACAAGGTTTTGTTTTGATATTGACAGTGTGTAGCTGTGTACTGATGTGTACATGGTGGGATCTGAAACTCATCCTGCTGTTCTTTCAGTGTCGCAGCTTCAGTCTGTTTATATAATCTGTTTCATGAACTTAGATGATATCTTGCATCAACACAGTTTGCCTTAGTCTTGATTATGCTACTGACTTCATGCAGTGTAGTATGTGGGTTCAGTATGACAAAAAGATAAGGAGCCTTGCTTGCTTGGTAAATACATTTACATTACATTAATTTTGCTCTGCCTTCCAGCACAAATACAGCTCACCGGGCGAAAAGACCAGTGATTATGAATCGGAGCAAGACAGACAATCCAACAAAGGTAGGAGTCCTGCAAAAGTTTGAAATATATAGTTTTGTCACAAGTTATTCCAAGTGTACTTAACTGTGCACATAGTTTCAAATACTTATACCAGTAGACTAAATGAAAATGTTTTAATCAAAGCTTTGAACGAAGGCAGTATCATCGTAGTGTTCTTTTCTGTTTTGTGCAGTTGGTATTGTCCCACCCAGGACCAAATCTCCCACAGAAGACAAGGATGGCATCCCTAGGAGAAATGGGAAAATGCCCAATGGTCACATCTCAAGGGTGGGTAATCACAGTACACAGAACAGGGGTGTCTGAAGTCTGACCCCAGGGCCACATGCTGCCTGCAGACCCTCTGGCCAATACGTTGCAATTGTTCCTTTCACTTAACGGTGGCAGCAGTACTATAAACTTTACAATTAACCTACAAATTAATTTACTGAATGCCAACACACAAACAGTGCAGCTGACAGTGGCAGTGTCAAGAGTGATGGAATAATTTTTGATCAAGAGCCATGACAAATGTGTGCCTCACATGTCAAGAGATCATAATGAACTTAATATTAAAATACATTATGAAATCTAGCATGGACAATAAAAATTCAAGGGACAAGAAGGCAATAAAAAAATGAAGCTTTTAAATCAGAGCAAATTCAGTAGTGTACAATAAATATAACGCGTTCTCTGTGTTTGTGTTTTTGACATTTTGAATATTAAATATTTAATATATTTCTGAATAATATTTTGGGAGAGAATGACCAGCCCTCAGGTATTTTGATAAGGTCCATTCTGACACCCTTTGAAAAAGGTTTGGACACCTTTTGATTTAGAGTCTATTATTACATTAAGTTACTATTATTACATTATAGTGAATACAATCATATGTCATCATAAGAATCCCTTTATTGGAAAAGAACACTCATATGTAGAAGGAATTTTTCATCTTGATGGAAGTGGAGCATGTGTGAATGGACAATACAGAAGACTAATAGTAAACAAATAAATAAATTAAACAAATAAAGCACAGCCACAATAAGTATCCTAAATATGTGCATTATATAGTGTATGTAGTGTAAATTAAACATAGAGGGTATTTTCACTCAATTTAGATCTGGTGGGATATGTCTGCAACAGATGTAAATGTAAAAAGGTAATGTTGTTTCTCTTATGATTGAACTGACGCATTAACTAATTAATCTTGCTTACTAGCTAATAGCTTAACGCTAGTAAAATAATAAAGCACACTCTTCTCTGCTCACACAAACACACAAATGTCTACAATTACACAGAATCATATGTAGAATTAAGCAAAGTTTATATTTTCTCTGTCTAATGTGAAAATATGACCAAAACCACTTGGAAGCAAAAATACTAACAGCTTTAGCATTGATCCTGTCGGAATCAATCTTGAGCAGATACCAAAAACCGTAAAACCTTTGCTACTGGACTGGTGACCAGTGAAAAAAGCTCCAGTTTTCTGGTTTTTGCGAACCACAGATTTGATATTTTAATTCCTGCTTTGCTAAGAACACCAGCTACTGAGTTGTACGCAGTAGACTTGGAGTGTGATTGTTATATTTGGAATGTTTTTTGTTTTTTTTTTTACAGGAGAGGCCAAAGAGTGCAGTGTTCCCGGCCGAGGTGAAGTCTAAGATGAGTGTGGAGGAGCAGAACGAAAGGTTACGTCGGAACCAGAGCAGCTCAGTCAGGGACAAGAGACGCAGCCTCAATCTGTCCAGCAGCCAGCACCTAGACGGCTTCAAACCCTCTGTCAACTACAGAGTGGTGTGCACAAATTACTTACTCATAACTACATATAACCTTTTTTTTAGTAAAATTGTTATTTGTTATTGTTATAATAAATATTGTATAGTAATAAATACTGTAGTATTTGACAAATAATCTTACGATTAATAAGTGAATAATAAGCCTAGAGTTTAAGGGGTTAACTCTGTCGGTTGGATATCGCTATCTAGGTAAGGCGGAGAGTGACAGCCCATGAGGTGGACATAAAGGACCTGGAGGCGGCTGTAAGGGGGGAAGGGGTGGAGTCTCCCCGAGAGGAGATCGCCCGTCTACGGCGACAGGTGGAGCCTGATCACTATGACCTGGACATTGGCAAAGAGGTGATGCACACAACTGAATAGATTCTGAATGTTTATAAAGTTTCATGTCTTCTCTGTTTCAACTCACCTGGGCAGGCAGTCATTCAGCAGTACAGCCATAGAACTAGAATTGAACAATCTTTGGTTTAAAACCTCCTGGCCACCAAAAGCCCTGCCCAAAATTGTCCTTAATACCTTGTATTGGCAGATCTACCACGATTGATTGAAAGTAACCTGCAAACAGAGTGAAGGTGGCTTTGACCTGATGTGTATCTGTCCTTTTATTGTTCAGCTGTCGGCCCCAGAGAAAGTGCTGATTCCAGAGCGGTTTCTGGACATAGAACCCAGCACACCACTGAGTCCAGAGGAAGAGAGAGAAAAACAGAAGAAAGTGGAGAGGATAAAGACACTTATCGCCAAATCAAAGTATGCCACTGTTTTCAGTTGTTTACTTTTGTCTGCACATAAATACTCTGCATAGTGGTGTTCCATGGGTTATGAGTTTGGGTTGAAAAGAAATGAATTTGGGTTCAGGTAATGTGACCAAAGTAATAATGAAATGTTTTAATGTTTAAGGCCATTTAGATTGTTATTGGTTGCGCGTTTAGCGATTTCCCTGCTGATTCAACACAGATGTTGACTTATTACTTGTTTAAACAAGGAAAGCAAACCAGTTCACTAGAACTGGGCAACCTGCCATGTTGGAAATTGAGAATGATTGATGAATGATGATGTTTTTTGCTAGCAATAATGTATGACTGCTCCTCGTAATTTTTAAACATAGAAACAGCACTCCTCTTCTATTTGCTGTATTCAGTCATGTATAGTAGCTGTCCATTATCTGTTCCCCCAGCATGCAGAACGTTGTACCGGTATTGGACGGCCCAGCTGAGACCTCCGGTAACACTGAGCAGCAGCTGCATGAACAGGAGAAACGCATCGAGATCTCATGTGCTCTGGCCGCTGAGGCGTCCCGCCGCGGCCGCCTGCTCTCCGGTGAGGAAGCCTGCCGCCCCGAGGAGCCCGGGCGAGCCGTCACCCCTGCTGTTTGACCCCCTGCCTGGCTCCCTTGACCTTTAATTGACCCATTCTCTCAGTCACCAACCCTGTCAGCTCTCACTGTCCTTCACTGTCTGAAAATTCACACTTCAGAGCAGAGGTTACACTCTCCATATAAAACATACCCTTAACACAATAAAAAGGAAAATATATATCTAATATACAGGCTTAGTAGACATATACTGTTGGAATTAAAGGACAATTAACCCACCATCATAAGCATTTATACGTATTTGTATTCATTGAACAATTTCCTACTACTGTGGTGTAACTTCTGCTCTGAAGTGCTGTGTCCATATAGTTTTAAATATTACTACCTAAACAGAAAGAGTATGTTTACTTATCTGCGAAGGTAGTTAGTGCCAATTAAGTGAAAGTCAAATTTTCCCAAGTCATTGATTCTCTTGTCTTCCATGACGTCATATACAAGACACATGTCGTACATACAAGATCATCTAAGATATCACTGGGTAGCGGTCATGATCAACTGCAGTAAGACAAAGAAATAACTGGAGAGAAGCACCTCTCATTCTGTTGCCTTATATCGCTGCTTCTTAGTTTGTCTAAGCATTTTTTATTTAATGTGTGCCAGCTTTCTATAGTCCTAACACAAAAGTAGATCTTATTTATATTAACTCAAACTAATGAATGATGCAGAACATAGTTGGTGAAACACTCAGGATCATGACTGTGATTGTGCGGTCATTATAGTTTTCTTTCATTTCCTGCAGTGTTTCGTAGCTAAGAGTTAGAACAGCACGCATCCTGCTGTTTTCATTTAGCGGTCTGGCTTGTGGTCCCGTGAGAACACTTTTCTTATCCCTCTCTGGTCCACAACACTTTCTCCTTTGCTCCATGTTTAATTTCATGTTTGCTTTTTTTTATTTGTTTTATTTATTTATTTATTTTTGTGTGTGTTTGTGTTTGCCCATCATTCCGTTCCACTGCATTGCAGCCCAGACCGCCCCCAGTTCCCCCGTCTCCCTGACCAACCCGGCCCCTTCCCCTTCTGCTGACTTCTCTGACTCCTCCCACATCATGAAGGTGTGAGTGTGTGAAGGTGAGTTCCGCACACCGCACAAAAGCCCCCCCCCCCTTTTTTATTCACTCCCTCTCTCGCACAATGATGCTGCATTCGACTTAATTCAGAATTGGGAAGTTGGAGCTTGGAATTACTTCATTTTTGAGTATTGTTAGCAACAAGCTAGCCATATAACGTTTGTGATATGAGTGATAACTTTAACGTCCATAATTAGCAAGTTATCATAAATTATATAATGCTGAACTTGGAACTGAGAACACTTCCCTGACTTTCTGAGCAGGAATTCTCACTTGACGGGGTGTTTTGTTTTTCCTACTTGGAGATGGTAAATTCCGAGTCGAACGCAGCATATACTCACTCTGGCCTTGCTTTCTTATTACTTTTACTTTGACTGGAGCCTGCTTCTCTTGCAGCCTTTATAATCAGCACATGCAAAAGAACAGTAAACCAAAAGAGAAGAAAATCAAGAAATACTGAAATTTTAGAAGCAGCATGAGTCCAGTGAGGTTCATTATTGAAAGACAGAGTGTTACTCAGGTCTGAACACTTGGAATAGATGATATTAAACTATATATCACACACCCACTCAATCGTTTTAGCTAAGAAAGGGCCCAAAGGAAAGATTCAAGGTTCTGCTTGTGTCTGATTCTGCTGATTGTGAGCTTATTTCCAATTAAAAATCTCTGCACTATGTTGGCTTAAAAGGGCAGCTTGCCTGATCCAATTTCATCAAACTCCGCAGGGCTTCATGCTTTATGAAAAGTGTAATTTAGGGCTATACTATCTGGCAGAACAATAATGCTTTCTCAGACCATTTCGCTTCCTCTTTGGAAAACCAAGCACACTTGTGTGAAATAGCAGAGTGTTTGCTTTTGGCACTTGAGGCTGAGTTTCTCATAAATTACGCATCTTCATCTGCAGGTTTACAAGGTCAAAATCCATTAAAAATGTCTTACAATAAAGTGTGCAATCTTTGCTTGAGCACTGTTCTCCCTGTTCTTTGGTCCATGTTGCAGCTTGTCCTTTAATGTGGAATATAAATCAAGAAGACTGTCATAGACACCCACAGTGTTTTTGATATATGACATATATATATTACTGCAGGCACAATAAACCTGATACACTATGCACAGTTAATGGGGGGGTACTTGTTATGACAGATTGCATGCCTGTTCCATCAGTAAAAAGGTACGGTCTAATTCAGAAGATATTGTCGAAGCCCTCTGGAACATTTTGTATATTCATTTTGTGACTTTCTTAAGAGGCTACTTAACAATAGGTAATAGTGTTTACTGATCACTTGATAAAATAATACAGCCTGGTCTTGAGGAATGTGGTGAAAGATGTGTTTTGGAGTTCCTGCTGCCTCTTAGCAGTCCATTTTTGGTTTGGTGTGTTTACAGCAATGTGAACAATGATGTTTCTTCTTGCAGAGTGCCAATACTTCAGTATTTGATGGCGCCATTTCTCATTTTTTTTCTTCTTCCTGTCTTTATTTCATCATAATTTTCAGCTCAAGCACTGGCTGCTGTGAAGTTCGATGGTGAGCCCTTCTGAGTGCCAACTTGGAGACAAAATGGCAAACAAAAGAAGCCCAAAAACTGACAAAGTTCATCTCCCCAAACGAGCGTATTTATTCCAGTTACCGACATGACTACAGGAAGAGGAATACTACACAGTGTTTGGAGGTTGGGGACACTTGGGTGTGACAGTCTAAGAGACAAAGCACAGAGGTCGCTCCGAGGACACGTCCTCACAATTGGCCTCTCTAGCTCTCACTGCACTCACACGCTTCTTCCTCTACCGAGTCCTAACTAAAGGATCTTAACCTATAGCAGGACTGCACAATGCAAATAACAAAGCTGTCTTGACATGGGAGGGTAAGCGGCCACATAATGAAAGCTACAGAACTAGCCAGAAAGTGAGACTTGTTTACACAAAACCATATTTACTCCTTGTCATATTGTGTGACTGGAGTACATATTACAGTCATATTGAAAAGGCTGGATTCAGCAGCTCAGGACAGGATCTGCAGAAGTGAGATTGGAGACACAAGCATGTCAATAAACAGCGTAACGGCCTAGGAAGGGAAGCTGTCCCGAAAGACACAATGGAAAGTCTGGTAGACCAAGAGAGTCAGGAGAAAGTAGCAGAACCGGACAGGAGGTAGCAGGACTAGACCAAGGACCACTGAAAGTTGACCAGATCAGTGCATCAGTATGTTACAACCAGAGAGACTGAACACTAGCTCAACAATAGCACCTAAATCTGAGTTTCAAGCTACAGCTACTCACCACAAACCACTCTTGTGATCATCCAAAGATCATGTAGAGGCATTATCCTAGAGTTGGGAACAATCGCAATATGTGAAAGCGCCCATTCCCTCTCTGGTCAAGGGAACCACAGTGAGAAGATGCTTTGAAAGAGACTTGGACAAACGTATGGACCTCAACGTGAAGAGCTTGCAAGGGCACTTATTTCCTCATTCCCTTCATCTAGACTTTAGAGGAAATCAAGCCCAGCTAAAGACAGACTCACTGTGACTCCTTCTAGCCTCTTCTTTCCCCTCCCTCCTCTTCACTTTTCACTTTAAATAGGGCTTGCTGGGAACTAGATCCCAGCTGTCACCGGTCCAGTACCTTCTGGTGCTGTTAGCACTGCAGTGTTTCAACCTATTGGTTCAATATTATACATATATATCTATAGAAGGTACATATATATTGATTTGAGTTGTATTCAAAGCCATGTGGATCCTCATAGTGCTTTTACTGAAATATGTGTGTGAGGTGAAAGGAGTATAATGATTTATAAATAGTAGGTTATAGAATGAAAGCTGGAAAAAAGTGCCCTTAGAACTGTAAATCTGCTTGTTGAAAGAGTGTGTTATTTAGGGTGTTGGTTGGTGGGTGGGAGAAAGGGAGGGCAGCAACTTGCATCTCAGCCTGTATTGTGTTAAATTAAAATATGTAGCCCATAGATCCCCCCTGTGAATATAGCGCCCAGTAGTGTAACACTGTGCCATTGGGTATTTCATTTGGACATTTTGGATCTTTTTCGTGCTTAGGCAAAATGATATGTTGTGTAAATACTGATATTGATATTTGATGCGGAATTAAATGAAACAAGTATTTTTCTATTACCGCCGAATACCTTTGACGGATGTCATCAAGCAGCTTGATTACAGTGTATCATACAAGTAACAAATAATTTGCCAAACCCTACATGTCTCCTATTTTCTTACTTCATTCAGATTCAGCGTTTTGGCGCTCAGAGACGCAACCCCTCACTGAAACCTGACATGTCATGCAAGTTGTTAGGCCGTCCCATGCTTTTCGGCACTTCGGCTAACTTTTTAAAGTAAGGAAAATTGGTCTGTGACTAGTCTAGCTTTAAATCGTGGCTTCAGTTTGTGTACAGTGCTCTGTTTTTATGGAAGTATGTTTCAGAAAACGATGCTTCTTTTTCTCATGCTCTCTCTTTAACTCATTAGCACATGCAAGTCTTTTGCAAAGTGAGATAACTGAATCAAGTTTTCTGATAGCTGGAACAGAAACAAACGTGATTAGTGTCTCAGAATTGGATCATCATTTTCAAAAAGGTAAAAGAAACAGACCCAAGGGGATGATAGAGGTTCTATTTTTATTATTTTAAAGAAAGGGAAAAATAAGGTCATCAAAATGCAGTACATATTTTTCTAAGAGCATGGATATTTGATGAATAAGATGAAGTCTGATCAATGAAATTTCTAACAGAGTGTTTTGCATTTTTCATGGCACTGGGGATTAAGGTTGGCATATCTTTATTTTGTTATGTGTTGTTTCGAAGGCCTCAGTTAAGGATAATTTTTAAGAAATTTATTTTTTATGTAATTGGAATGAAACGCGTCAAGAAATGCAAAACAGTCAGAACAGAGTGTCTAATATTTGGTTTTAAAACATGTAGCATATAAAGCTAACAAAGGACTAAACATTGGTCTGTGTACATATTTTCAAACCAAATTAAATCTTAATATTAACAGTTACTGTTGCTACGTTGAGGAAAAATACAGAAAAAATGCTTGAACTATGCAAATCAAAACAGTCAATATGCTTGCTTTAGGAATACCCTCATGCAATAAAGTGAATGTATTCAAATGTGTCTTTTGTCTGCATATTTCTGCTGGTATTAGTAAATCCAAGAGAACTTCCCCACATTCACAAAGCACTTTTTCCTCTAATCATTGCTATAAAAAAGAAAGATTACTTGGATCCATTTGCCCATAACAAAGAAAAACACTAAGGCTAGCTCAACTGTTGAACTTGTGTTCCCTGCTGAAAAAGAACCATTGGAAACCATTAGGATTAACTGATCGTTTTGCTTTCTAATGGGAACTGGAAATAGTTTGGCAACCATTAGTTTCCTGTAAAACACCTTTAGATCCCTTTAGGAAACCACTAAATGCCTTTGGAATCAGCCATAGGTCACCTGTTGAACCATTAGGATCCTTTACATAGTGATGAGAACCAATCAAAAAAGCCGAAACATGTTACAAAACTATCAGGAACCAATAGTAACACCATGTTTTTTTTTTAGCAGGGTTATATTGCATTAGGTATTTAAAGTCATGTTGTGCTAAACGTTAAAATGTCTACATAATTCAGTGAATGAAAGGTAAAAGTCATTAAGAGTAGTCTGATGTCGTTTTATTTACTTTCCAAATGACCAGTGAATCATAGAAAAGTTTTTTTTCTTTTCAGTTCCATGGTGATTTACCAAATACATGTGGTTTGAAAAACTGTTTCTTTCATTCATATTAGCCAGTACAAATCTGGCAGTTCCACCTCAAAGTGTCTGGAAACCAACGGCATGATTGATTGACCGGTGTAACTGAAAACAGAAGGGTTCTCAAAAATCACACTTGATTTTCTGACGTCCTGTCTTGGACGATTGCTTACAGCAGATCAGTTAACGCTAAAGCTGTTGCAATATTTTTGTCTTGGAGGTGGACAACCTGGGAAGCCTTTCTCATCCAAGACACTTTCACATTCGGTTTCAAGGCCAAAGTAATAGCATAGAGTTATATATAATTAGATATTAAATACATGTTAAAGGGAAATGTCACCAATTTTTTAAAGACTTGACTTTTTACAGTGGTGGTGATAAGAGGTTGCAATGTCCACAGCACAAATATAGCCATTTTATTTACTATGCAAAACCAACAGTGAGCCTGCATGTTTTTGATATGTAATATTGGTAATGGTAAAATATTGGTAAATATAAAAAAGGCATCTTTGGGGGTTAAAAATCACCCTGCATTTGTCTCCCTGCCATGTATATATTGTAAAAAAAATGGATTTTGGCCAAAATCTTATCTAAAAACTGTTGTAAAGCAATGTGTCAGGCACTAGGCAGCATATTCTTAATAATTTCACATCAAACATTCCTAATGAGTTTTGTTAACATCCTCAACATTCAATTATGCAGAAATTTTGAAAAATCCAGACCAGAGTATGAGACTAAGGCAGCCCCTGGCTCAGGCTTTCCATGAAGGAGAACCAAAGACCTGAAAATGATAAAATGATCCATCTGGCACATTTGACCAGGCCCCTAATGGTGTTATTGAGGGCCTAAAATGGTATGGTTTGGAATGCAGTTTCTTCTGATATGTAACAGCTCTAGAATAATTTTTAGATACTCAGGAATATTGTTTTCAACAGATAAGAGTTAAAAGCTTCAGGCTTTACAGAAAAGGGAGTCTGATATTTTGATCTCAGGACATCCCAGTCCTGCCAAGGTTTTAGAAGAATAGCAAATATGTGAGAGCTGAGTAGTCTGTAGCCTAATGAGTCATCAGGATTGATATACTGGAAAGCCTTTGGATTGGTTACACGGCAAAGCCATTCATCATCAGTGCTGTTGGCCTGGTTAATGTTTACTACATATACTCTGACATCAGGGTTCAAAGGTCAGGCTTACATGATAGGGCAACACAAGGGACAATGAGGAGCTGAAAGGGTGAACAAATCGAGCCAAAGAGTGGTCACTGAGTGGAGAACACTATGGTTCCGATCACAGAGTTTCAGAGTGAGTTTACTGCATTTGATTTTATGACTTTAAAGTGTCAATAATGACAATAAGTAGAGTGATCCAAGAGTATTTGGTATGTGGACTCCTGGGGTAGATAAGGAGTCAAGTAGCTTAATCAAAGATACATTCTGGGAAGTTTAAATAAGGTGGCATTTCTCCATCATTACATGACTACTCCACTGAAAAGGCTTTGCCATTGTCTTTAAACTAAGCACCAAAAAGTCATTATTGACAATTTTGGTGTCATTACTTTCATTTCTAGAGGTAGCTCTTTGGTACTGTATTTTTGTGTACTTTCTCCATTACTGATCTCAACTTTACCTTTCAGTGCTTTCTAAATTGAGTGCAAATTCTTACTTTCTTACTTTCTCATTGTTCCCTAACTGGACTATAGAGATCGGCGTGGGTTTATCAGGCTTTGGTATATTCTTCATACTGTTTGGAGTGCTGCTGTACTTTGACTCTGTCTTGCTGGCATTTGGTAACGTAAGTACCTCACATCAAAGACTCAACGCTCTGTTTGAAGCATGATACAAGATGTGTCCTTAAGCACAGCAGGCCCAGTTAAAATGGGGTGATGGTTTTCAAATGTTTATAAGATAACATGGATTTGGAAACACTGATTATGTGATTTATGGCTGAATGATATTTAGTGCTCCAAAAAGTATTTGAACATTTGTGCATTTGTGCAATGTGTTAATTGTGTTAGGAAATAAAATTTCAAACCAAATGGTATTTATTTCAAACAGACCCATTTCAATAGTGCAGTTTTCTTGTAGGCAAGGTATTCATTCAAAAGGTGGCTGGTGAGTTTCAGATTGTTAGAATTTGCACAGTTTTTTCAAGATTTTTGCAGGTTAATATTCAAAACACCTTTATACACTTTTGATCCCATCAATAACAGCTCTAGACTTTGATGTTTCCACCTTTACAGTTCCCTTCTGTAAGGGAACTGAATTCTTCTCCTGCCTTTCTCCACACAAAGAGTTGTCTATTTACTAAAGTCTAACAAATCTATTTGATGCTGAGCTTTTAAAGAGTTTTTCTCTAAAACAATATTTCATGTTGTTAAACACTTAAGAAAATAACCTGCTGAACTTCACTAAACTTTACCAATGGGTAAATTGATTGAGTGTGCAAATGCTTTTTTGTTACAACCCCATTTCCAAAAAAGTTGAGATGTGCAAAAAGTAAATAAAAACACAATGAAATGATGTGCACAAAATTTAAGCCCTATACCTAATTGAAAATAGTACAAAGACAACATATCAAATGTTGAAACAGATATTTTATTGTTTTTTGAAAAATATATGCCCATTTTGAATTTGATACCAACGACACATTTCAAAAAAGCTGGGACAGGCGCAAGGAAATGCTGGTAACGCTTTGTAATGCTAAAAAACAGAAGTTGGAACATCTCACAACTGAATAGGTTAACTGGCAACATTAAGTAAAGAAGTAAAGATGGGGAGGGGTTTACCACTCTGTGAAAGACTTCATGGGCAAATAGATTTTGTCAATGTAAAGTAGCAAAGAACTTGGGGATTTCATCATCTGCGGTACATAATACTGTTAAAAGATTCATAGAATCCAAAGAAATCTCTGTATGCAAGGGACAAGACCAAAAAACAGTATTTGCTGGCCATGTTCTTTGGGCTCTCAGGCAGCACTGCATTAAAAAAAGACATGATTCTGCAGTATAAATCACTGCTTGGGCTCAGTAACACTTCCAAAAACCAGTGCCTATGAACACGTCAACGACAATTCGTCTCTGCATCCACAAATGCAAGTTAAAACTCTACCATGCAAAGAAGAAACCATTTATATACAGGATCCAGAAACACCGCCGCCTTCTCTGGGCCCAAACTGACTTAAGATGCACTGAGGCAAAGTGAAAAAGTGTCCTGCAGTCCGACAAATCAAAATTTACATTTTTTTTGGAAATCATGGACAAGGCATCATCCTGGCTAAAGAGGAGAGTGACCATCCAGCTTGTTATCTGACCACAATTCAAAACCCAACATTCATGATGGGATGGGGGTGCATTGTGCACATGGCATGGGTGACTTAATGCTGAACATATTTTGCCATCCAGACAACATCTTTTTCAGGGAAGGCCTTGCTTCTTTTAGGAAGACAATGCCAAACCACATTCTGCCTGTATTACAACAGCATGGCTCCATATTAAAAGAGTCCAGGTGCTAAACTGGTCTGCCTGCAGTCCAGACCTGTCATCCATTGAAAACATTTGGTGCATTATGAAACCAAAAACATGACAAAGGAGACCCCGAAATGACGAGCAGCTGAAATCCTATATAAGCAAGAATGCGAAAAGATTTCACTTTCAAACTACAGCAGTTGGACTCCTCAGTTCCCAAACACTTATAGAGCGTTGTTAAAAGAAGAAGTGATGCAACACAGTAGTAAACTGCTATCCCAACTTTCTTGAAGCATGTCGCTGGCATCAAAATTCAAATTGGTTATATATTTTAAAAAAAAAAACATTTTTTTTTTTAGTTTCAACATTTGATATGTTGTCTTTGTACTATTTTCAAATAAATAAAGTGTTAAAATGATTTGCACATAATTGCATTCTGTTTTTATTTACATTTTGCACAAACTCCTAACTTTTTGGGAAATGGGGATGTACTTAAATGTTCTTACATAAACTGTCTTTACTCAGTGGAAGGTTATTTAAACCCACACAATATGCAATTATTTTTTCTTGCAATGATCTACCACAGATCCTGTTCCTGGCTGGTCTGGCCTTCATTATTGGCCTGAGGAGAACGGCACACTTCTTCTTCCAGAGACAGAAGCTCAGAGCCTCGTCATTTTTCCTTGGCGGTGTAGCTTTAGTGGTGCTACGATGGCCACGCATAGGCATGCTAGTGGAAAGTTATGGCTTTGTGCTTCTGTTCAAGTGAGTAACATATTTCCAAGCTATTGGCTTCAACATCAATGGATTCTGTCAGCATGATCAAGATACCAAAAGTGCTTCTCAGAACGTTTGGTCTTAATGAGGGATGAGATGCACATGCGGTGCTACAGGGAAGCAGCTGCTTACTGTTGTGGTAGAGTCTTTGGAATGGTTGCAGGAAAAATAGAGTCAAGACATCTAAAATCCTGTTCCCTAACAGAATTAGCCTTTTCCATCCTAATGGGCCTTTTTCACGAAAATCCAAGCACCTGTGGCCACTAAGTGAACTCACTATGCGGCTGACAACTTACCAGTTTTGCTTAGAAAACACTGCAGACTGGCAAGATTTTTAGTCTTTTACAATAAGATGTTTGAATCCACATAATTTTATTGTAATTTATACAATTAGAATGTCAGTGTGGATCCAGATTCTGAATTATAAAATGACATTTGGGAAATTAGCTTTTTTCTCCAAGTTTTATTTTAATCTTCTTTAGTCTTTTTTATTCTGTCTAACTTGTTGTACCAATTACATTGTTAAATCTTTTCATATTAGATATATTTTTTATATTATTTCATAGAAATACCAAAAGGCACAGAAGTTGCTCAAATAGAAATGAGAGGACATTTAATCATGGTAGTGAATAGCAAGCTAACAATAATATTAGCAGATAGCTAACAGTAGCTGCTAAACATTAGCTACCTGTTGTCATGCAACACCCTATACAAGTAACCTGCACTACTTAACCACTGGCATAACAAATTCATTCATAGGTCAGTTAAAATAGTTCCATTTAAATTCCAAGACTGAGCTAGCTAGCTAATTCACAAAAAACTAGATACTTGCCTATACACTTTTTTTGTCTAGATTGTTTTCTCTTGACAATGAATGAATATGTAATGGGGGAATCAAGCATGAATCAATGTCAACAGTTAAGAAATGGTTCATCCCACTGTAGGGTTGTTCAAAATCGTATTACGGATGTATTTCTGACACAGCTGGAAAATTTATTTTACAATAAAAATGTTTAGAATCTTAATCAGGATGGTTTACAATATCAAAAATATTTACAATATACATTTTTAAGAACCTCCCCTCCCCAAAACATTTTGTCTTTTCTGCCTTTACATTAGCATTTATGGCATTTGGCAGACACTCTTACTCAGAATTTTAATCATGCCACAGAGATGACAGGCCAATGTAGCGTTGGGAGTTTAGCATGGTGTGCTTGAAGGCAAGCAAATCCCAGTCGAATTGTCTGTAAGCACACCAGAATTGCACATTAATGTAAATATGAATGAGTCACTTGTTGATTTTAAGTTGTCTACATTAAGTTTATCATGAAAATATGAACAATATTCTGCACTATTCCAGATCATTCTTCCCAGTAGCCTTTGGATTCCTTGGAACAGTCTTCAATATGCCTTTCCTCAGTACTGTAAGTATATGACTTCGTTTTCAACAATACTAGAGGTGCATTGTTAACAGTAGTAATTCCCTTTTCTTCCTCTGTCTTTTCTCAGTTATTCAACTTTTCAGGAAGTAGCTCCTCAATGGTGTGAGGGGGGCTGCGATTGCAGAGGATCTAAATAGCTGGATAACAATGTAGATCATGAGGCTGTGGAATCTTTTTGGGGAACAACACACCAAGAATGAAACCCTGTCAAAAAAGCTAAACCAAAAAATCTACTAGTCATCAAAATTCCCGCTTTTCAGTTGTGAAGTTTGCATGGTTTTTATTTTTCTGTTTGATGCTGTATGGCATGCCCTGTATTTTAAGGATGTTTTCAGTTGATATTTGTACCATTTTAAATAAATCCACTGTTATACTGAAATGCTATACTCACTTTAATAAACTGGAATAATGAAATGGATTCATCTACTGTATCCCTATTATACTTCAATTTAAGGTAGGCAATCAAATAAGAATGAAACCAAGATGATTCACAGACTCATCATTATCTTCTCAAGATGATGCCCAAATTAAATGTATTGCACATAGTTGCTAAAGCTTGTTGACCTACTGTCAAGTTCTCCATCTGCATTTTGGATGAACACTTGTTCTCATTCATATGTGTTCCTGTTTTCTTTTCCTATTAAAACTAGAAAATGAACCTAATTTAAATTTATCATTGAGCCTTATCAATAGTAGATGACAAAATTCCACAAAGGTCTTCCAATGAATGGAGGGCCAGTGGGTATCAGGAGATGGGGTCAGATCAGAAGAGAGACACTGGATGCCTGGCCTGCTGAGAAGCCCATGACGCAGGATGTTTTGGAGTATAAAAAGGGGACAGAGACAAGCAAGGGGGTGCACAGTACATAAAACGGTACCACCTTCATTCTATACCTGGACCTGAAGGTAAGTCACATACTGCTCTGAATTTGCATTTATCTAGTAGTTGTGTAGTAGAATATGGTAACCAGCTTTCAAAGTATTATGCTTAATTAAAGCTCTAACTGTCGTTTTTTCAAATGTTGTTTTTCTGAACTTCTGTAGAATAATCTTAAGGAGCTGATCTCTCATCTATCTATTGCAGTGTTGGCAATAGACGAATTTGTTTTTGCATATGTGAAGGGACAACAAGAGAAAATTTTAGGATGCTTACTGTGACTGATGTAAGGACATCAGCTGCAGTTCATTTGTGGCATTTAATAGGACAGGGCCTATAAATTAGTATCTTTTGAATGAAGGCTCAGTACTACTGCTGTGGCTGTGAGCTGTTGGGTTCTGTCTGAACATTTTGGTAAAGCAGCAAAACTGCCCCAATAAAAATAATGGTTGGTTTCCTGGACTACACAGAATTCTGAATGGAGATTCTCTTTTCAAAGGAAAACGTTGCATAGCATTAGGCTTAACCCCTGTCTGAGAGAGCAACCCTTAAATACATAAATGCAAATTAATCCTATAACAACTTTTAAGATGTCATGTTTGTATTATTTCTTAAGAAAATATGGATGATTGTTCTTAAAATGAACCTTTAAAAATCCTGACCATGTTTTTTTCAATTGAACCTCCAGTATCGAGCATAACCTTTTGGTTTCAGAGGAACACTCGAAGAGCAGATTAGCCACAGGAGGAAAGGTGACGTCAGATGCTTTTGATGGTGTTTTTGAAGTTTGTGTGCTCCTGTGTGTGTGCACAGCACGTGTGGGTACTGACAGGAAACTCTCATCAAGAAAAGGGTACATTTATACACCTCCAGTTGATTTAATGCCACGCTCCCATCTAACTGCCTTAGAGCAGTAAAATCCCAAATAACCCAGACAAATAAAGTGAAAAAAAAATCTTGCATGTAAATTTTGCACAAAAGTCATTAATTGGTTGTGTGGTTATATTATGATTATTCTGCTTTTTCTCACAGATACTGATATTTCTCTTCAGTGCACTGGGGATACTACTGGAAATGCTACTGCTCACTATGATGCTTATGGTATCAGTTACACTTGGTGAGACCTACCCCACTGGGCCTCTAACATTCGCCGATGAAGGTATTTGTAGATGCACAATACAGATTCTTCATAAATACCTTCATAAATAATTACAGGGGTGTAAAATTACTTAATTGGTATAAAGTATTATTTACTTACTGTACCTTTCTCAACTTTTACAAGTAGAGAAAAAAGTACCTCAAAATACTTTTTATTAATCTCAAAGCCAGGATATTTTTCTCTTTTCAATTAGAGTTCTTGCACAATGTATTTTTTCATATTAAAAAATGGCGCATACTAAACATGCTACCTTGTTTATTAAAAATAAGAATTTAAAGTTAGAAGGAAGTAGGACAGCACTTGTATAATTTACTGAACATTTATTAAGAAAAAGCTCAGATACGTTTTGGCACATGGCCCTTCTGAGAGCGCTTTTGACATTGTAGCCACCAACTGAAATATATGTAGACATAAAAGTGACCAATGGAAAATTTTGCATTGTGTCCACATTTAGTCTTATTTCTCATATGTCTGTGAACTGACATTGGCATGTATTACATAGTGATTCATGGACTGGTCAAGCATTTCAAGATCCCCCTAGTTTTTAGTTACAAGCTTTTATGATTTTAAATTGTCATTTTAGGAGTTACAAGTGTGTTGATTTTAATCACATGATGCTAAATAATTACACACATCCTCAAACCAATAAGGTGCTTAGGATTGCATGCTCTTAGACCTCTGTGGTTTATTTACTAGTGTGCCCATACTGCCTTAGTTATGTGAGAAATACTACACAACAACTGATTTCACAAAAAATGGGAAATTACACACAAATCTCCAGTAGCCAGACATTTTAATAAAGTAGGCCATGATGTTAACTCATTGCATTTCATGGGCTTAGAAATGGTGAATCAGTTGTCAGTGGGTGGAGACAGTGAGAGGTGCCACTTGCAAAGAGAGGCCTAGAATGTCTTTAACTTGTTTTCTATGAGACTTAAGATTTATGTTGCACATGGTCAACAACTGATCTTGTTTGTAATTGTAGCCACCAACCCACTAAAAAATACTAATTATATGAACCCAACCTACATATGATGTACTTTAAGTGGGTCACAATTACAAACAAGACCAACTGTGTTTACTTCTAAAAAAGCATATTTTCATGATACTTGCATTTTTGACAAAAAAATATGATTTTTTTTTGTGAAGGCAACTCAAAGAACCATTTGAATGCTTACATGGTATTTTTAAAAACCTTTTATATTACATGAAAAAGTCTTAAAAGCTTTATTAGTACTATGTAGAACCCTTTTTGAGTTATTGACTCTCTGTTTCTTTAGACAAGACACCTGAGGAGACAGTGCTCCAAGTTCTGCAGAGATTAGATCTTCTGCCCACTCCTGGACCCCCATTGTCCAAACCTTCAGCCTACTTCCCCACAGATGTAGCCAACCCGCTCAGGTGGTGGCACCCAGAAATGCTTCATCCTGAGATGAAGAAGAGGCATAATCTTGCATCGTACAACCTCAATTCATTCGGCCTTCGCTATGGGAAGTGAGAGCCTTGCTTCAAAGGCTTTGTGTATACAAAACAATTCTGTATTAATCAACTATTTAATAATTAAAATCACTCATCTGGAATGATTGTGATTTCTGTTTGTCTCGTTCATTATCTTAGCTAACAGCTGGGTTTAACAGCTTTGGCAATATTTTTGGTAGTTAATAAATTTTTTATTATAAGAGTAACTGTACTTAGTACTTAATGCCTATATTATTATACTAAATTTAATTTAATTGAAGAATTGTATAGAATTGTATTTGTGTGTGTAACATATGGCCCACCAGGATACAGGGCCCTCTTTGTAAATGAACTCCTCCTAATACCTCACTGATAGCCCACAGGCCTTGATTTAATGTTTGGAGGGGGATGAATTGATGAATTGTTAGTGACTGCTGGCTAGCTAGTTTCATAAGACTAGAAAATTTTGGTAAACCAAGTAAAAAGCTTCTATATCTAATTTTTAGCTTCTTGCTCTTCACGTGACACCTACATATTGTTACTATGGGAACAAAACCTCATACCTCTAAAATGGTAACTTTTCAGGAGAAGGAAAAAACTTTCTTAACTTTTAATGGAAGTTAATCTAAAAAGATTTTTCTTTTGGTCCATTTATTGTTAAACACACAATGTAAGGAGAAGCTGATGTTTTCAAATTATGTAAAAAAAAGACAAAAATGGGAATACAAGGTTTGAAAGTGTTGAAAAAGTCACTCATACATCTGTTCTAGACAGATCAAGTATTATTTTCATCTTGATACTTAAATCTCTTTTTTATCCATGAACTTGTTAGTTAGAGGTTTATTGATATAATAAATACTTTGAAGTGCATGTATTAATACACAAGTTTCTGTTTCTAATTTTTAATTTGAAGTTTTCCAGTTCAGAATGTTTTGAATAAATGCATATTCTTAATCTTACATATCTTTAATACTACTGATCAGTATAAAACACTTATGAATCACGTGGTATGAACTCTGCGTCCCCCCAAACGTTGAAATGAAACCGACATCACTGCTGATAGCTCTTGAGATGTTTTGCACTGTTAACGGTAATGTTGCCTTACCACAAGTTTCCACTGACTTGAGCTGTGCCTTAAGTGCCACAGTGCTATATTCTTTCCTTTGCAAAATGGCACTTAAATTAAAAAAGTGATTTTCACTTAAAAAGTGATTTAAGTGATTTTTGGAGCAAATTTTGAATTTATGCAGTCATGAGGATGGACACTGGACCAATCTTTGTAATAATTCTCCTCAGTCTGGTACTTCTGAATCCACTGGAAGGTAAGGCTGTGATATTCTAGTTATGGTAAAAAGTTTTGACAGTCATGATCAGATGCAGTGTTGAAATAACATTGAAAATAACATCCATACGTAACTGATAAACATATAATAAAACAGTTGCACCTGAAGTTTCTATTCAGTACTGTGTGTAATTTAAAAAAAAGCATTTTTTATCATTCTTTGTCCATGACCATGGTGGGTTTTTTGTTTGTTTTTCTGTTGTTCTTTTGAAAGATTGCATTTGAACTGCCTTTGTTCAGATCGTATTAAAAATGTTTATGGTTATTAATTTGTGCTTAACTTTATTACTACAGCCCCAGCTGCAGCAATGCACAAGATTACTGCGCTCAGTGGCAGCTCAGAAATACTTTACTGTCCAAGTTCATCAGCTGTCTACTTTCAGAGATGTATGTGTAATTTCTCCAGCAAATGTCGGTACCTATATCCCCCTAAAATAAAAACAGAGCACTATATGGGCCAGTGGAAAATCACAGTCTTTAGCCTAAACACAGATGATTCAGGGTGTTACATGTGTTGGCCCTGGCGGCAGAAATTTTACATTGAAGTGCTTCCTGGTAAGTAATAACCTTTTTTTTTGTTTAATAATAATTATACTACAGTGGTAATCAGCAGCACATATGCCAATTGCTCTGATAATTCAGCTACAGTCGTAAAAGTTTGGGTGCCCCTGGTCAAATTACATGTTTTTTTGATTTTGAAAATAAGTGAACACACTTCTACACATTTTAATGCAATTACTGTTGGGGGAAAATTGGGGGAAAAAATATAATATGGCCTATGCAAAAGGTACCGCACATTTTGGTTTTATTTTCAAAATGCAAAGTGTGTTCTCTGTCACAGATATATTAATATATTTTTACTTAGAACATCAACTAAATTGACCGAGGGTGTTCAAACTTTTGCACATGACTATGTATAAAAATCATTAAATGTCTTTGCTTGGGGAGCTAGAAACAATGACAGCATTTAACCAGTAATCTTGTCTCATTCATAAAGGAAATGTTTACACATGTAGAGTTACAAATTCTGATGGTGTTTTAATGATGTCAATGTGACACTAACAGCTGGACTGACAGCGCCGCGACATGTGAATGGCACAAAGGGAGGCAATGTAACAATACGCTGTAGCTATGACATTCAAGGCCACGGTTCTTCACTGTCCTGGTGTAAGATGTACTCTTACACTGGAAATTGTGAGAATATTGACAGTCCTATTAACAAGGACTTTAATGAAAGAGTGAGAATTGAAAAGCACTCCAACTATTTTGATGTCATTATCAAAAGTCTTCAGATAAAAGATTCTGGAACTTATCGCTGTGTATACGGGTACTGGAATGACCTCGGTGCTTGGGAGACATTAACAGCAGATGTGGAACTTATTATAACAGGTGTACAATCTTTCTATCTTGCTTTAATACTTATGTTTTTTTTTTAACTGTCAGCAAAATAACATCTGTTGCTGAACTGTTGATTTTAAGATCCACAGCTATCTTTAACAACCTCAGCAGCGGCTACAAGAAATACTGTTACAAAGAGACCCACCAAAACTGTTACACCAAGAAAAGCTATGAGTCTTACCAGAAGTGTTACAACAAGTAAAGCTGGGAGTTCTATCACAGGAGCCCCTCTCAGGTAATGATAATGAAGCCCATGATTTAAAAATTCTAAACAGCACATAACTAGTCACTGTAAAGCAGTGTGTAAGCATTCTAATTCATGCTGTTGCTATCTGTTTTAAATGGCTTGGAAAGGGGTGTTCTTGCTAATAGTTCCACTGTGATTCTTTGCATTGTGATGTTGTTTCAGTCAAAGTCCTCTGCTCTACAGCATCATTTGTCTCCTTGCCATCATAGCCATTACTCTACTGATCATATTACTCAAACTGTACTACAAAAGACGCAAAGGTGAGTGATCAATGTTGAATGAATGAATAGTACTATTTAGGTCACACAAAAGCAAAGCTATTGAATTGAAGTTTGTGCAGCTTTTCTTCATTACTTTTGATATTAATATTATATCTTGGAAATTTGTCATGATTTAAACTATGATCCTTTGAGATGGTTTTTCAGATCGTGTACAAAGTCCAGATCTTGGTGGAGGCACTTTTTACATGAGCGATCTCAGAAGTGACTTACATCTTGCAAATCCTGTCCCTAAACAACCCTACAGTAAGAGCTTTCCATGCCTGAGATTCATACATTAGTCAAGACTGTCAACTGTTTCTGATCCATTAAATGTTTGCTTTTTCTTTTAAAGCTGCATGTACAGATGATTCATCCTCTACTAGCTCAGAGAGCTCAGGTCATTCAGTAAGTACAGTTCTGTTTTACTGATTTCTGATATATGTATGTAATTACAGATATAATTATAGATTTATCTACAGTATAGATTTAATATTATTACAGGGTGTTTTTACATATTTTATTCGAGTTCTTGAACAAGAAGGCATTACATTAATGCAAATGATGTAAAATGTAAATGATATTCTATAATGATCTATTTACATACATTTTTATGAACTTATCTGCCTGATTTGATCTTCATTTTTGAAAAGTGATGAATTCTAGATATAAATTTTGCTGCTTAATTTTCCATATTTTTGTAACTTCTCCACAGCTTTCTCAGTCATTTTAGAGTCATTTCAGAGAGCTTTGTTCATCATTCTGGAAATTCTGAACTAAAATCACTTCATCCACCAAATTGATTTTATATTATAAAAAAAAACATTCATTTCAAACCTTGAATGGGAGTGTTTATTCAGAGAAATAATGAAATGTCATGGCTGCACTCTTAAACATAAAGGTATTAAAAAGGGTTCTTTGTGCAAAGCCAAAAAAGTACTTTTGGTTCCCTGAAGTCTTTAGAGAAGAGTGTTTTTAAAATGTGTAAAAATGTTTTTCACATAGTGTAAAGGTTCTAGGAAGAGCCCTTAAATAAGTATAGAACATTAGGAGGTCTTTTACACTAACAAATCTATTTTTCAAAGATGGTTCTTCTAAGGCATCGCTCAAAACCCTTTGAAGCATCTGTTTTTTAATAGTGTGTGTGTAATATGCAAATATATTGTCGCTGTCAGAACAAAACATTGTATCTTCAAAATAGTAAGTGTTCTAGTTACTAATAGAAGGGAAAAAATATAATGTATCTTAATTCATAAGATAAATCTTAATTTATAATGTAAATAAATGTGATTTTTTCATTGTCAGTCATTTTCATCAGAGTATTTATTTATTTATGTATCTATTGCATCTAATGTAAAGAGAAAAAAGGACAATAATGGAGATACAGTGTTTTTTTTTCTAACAACGATGACATAGACAGTCTTATACTTAAGTTTAGGCACGCTTGGTCTAATAACTTTTTTGTTGTTTTCTACGTGTAAAATAATTTAACACATTCTCCACAAAGAACACTCTTCCACACAAATTAAATGCACAATGACTGTTTTATTTTTTTTTAGTATGATAAATTTAGCAAATAAATAGAAAATGTGTGCTAAAAATACCATATTTAAGTCGGCTTCCTGTAGAAGTTGTATTAACTTTTTATCACTAAGAAAATCATCAAAACGTGATTTGTAGTGTAAGTGTAAAGTTGTAGTATAGAAAGTTTGCATATTTGTTGGTCTGTTTGTGTTTCAGTTCGGGAATATATCCGTTGGCCCTCACCACCAGTATCTGACTATAATGCCCACCCCTAAGGACGCAGACTATGAAAATGTCCCTGAAGAAATGCCTTCAGCTCCTCCAGACTATGAAAATGTGACTGCAGACAAAGACCAGGACTACGTTAATATACCTGAACCCCAGAACACATCTTCCACTGAGGACCAAGACGACGAGGGCGGCAGCCCTACAGGAAAGTGGGAAAAGAGTGCAGCCAGCCGTAAGAGCAGCAGCAGCAGCAGCAGTGAGAGCAGCAGCAGTGACGAGAGCGAAGAAGAATCAGTAAATTACACATTGGTTGTCTTTAAAAAAGCCACAGAGTAGGTACTCAAAAGACACTGACTTCCATGCTTTCCAGCCACATAATCTTTTTTGGGCAGATAAAATGCCAAAAACATAATTTTCATTTTTCTATCAGATGACTGACATTATGTTTACAGCACTGTATCAACCTCTGCATTTCAAGTAGATGCTTACGTATATATATATATAAGAACTCCATGTTCTAAATTTAACTAGTATGTATGTTATTTTTACTGCTGATTTTTTTGTAGGGGCTGTAACGTTTGCAGGTATTGCATATACTGGCTGTGCATGGGAGGAAAAGTTAATTCTTGTTATGAAACCCTCTGAAAACCTAACAGGACTCAAAATAAGTTTCTGATGAGATTAAAGCACTCTCTTGTGCTGTTTATTGCCAACGCACAAGCTTACATCCTGTTAGGAAGAAACCAGATTGTGCAGCTAAGGAGATTGACTTGACAGGGGAACTTATTTTCAATATGTGTGAATCTGTTGTGCACCAATTATGAGTAATGCATATCATGTCGTGTCATCTTGTCATCATTGTTCACCTCTTTCTACATTCAGTTTAGACCTGCCATGTTATGCACAACACGTACTCCGCTGATATTCTTTTCACATCACCTGACCTATTTAACTTCAAAAAGCTTGTGTGTAAGGGTTGGTGTGAGACGGTGCATCCGTTGTGTCAAAAATATATCTGTGTCTTGTTTTAGAATTGACCACGGATGGAAAAAATGAGCTCTTATCATATTGGTCGACCACAGTGGCTGTGTACTCATAATGTGAGACCACATGGTGGTGTAAGAAGCCAAGGAGATGCTGGTGGCAGATTAGAGGAGCTTTATGCTCACGGCCTCTTTATTTGGGTGTTTATTTTCTTGTTTGGTGCCAAGTGACATGACATTTATTTTTTGTGTTCAGTAATTGAATAATTGTATTTTACAATTTTCTATGTGAATGACTTTTTAGAAAATGAAAATAAAATTCATGTCAGACATTTATGCCTCCCAAAGTCTAAAAATGTCAGATGCTGTGACCGTCCAACAATATATGCAGATTAACTATAATTATTCAGTTCATTATAAAAAGGGTCATTTGACCTACAGGAAAATTTTATTGCTCAAATGTTGCTTTTTGATGGCTCATTGTGACTCTCCTAAAATGCCTTTAGAGCAGAGATAAAGGAGAGATGAGAATTTAGTTGCAGACAAACTCTCTCAGCAAATCTGAGCACCATGTGTGACTCAAGAGGACATACATGAGATTACTGAGGTCTTTTTCTCAGAAGAAGTGTTTGAGCAGCTGGAGAGACTTGTGATCTCATTGTTGTCTGGGTGAAACTACAGAGAAATCTCTCTTTTTATTTTTCTTTCCTGTTGGTATAAAACTCTGAATAAAGTAGTTGCACAATTCTATGGAAATTTAAACCATAATATGTTGCAAAATAGGGCAACTTTAAGTATTTCATTAAACGCACAACATCCATCCGCAAATTCTGATTTTCTCAAATGTCATGTGACTCAACCTGAAACAAAAGACTTTTATTCTGACATACTTTTAAGAAAGCGTGGGCAGCATGTTGCATCATAAAGAAGTCCCTAAGTGACCTTCATGGTGCAATGCATGGTGCAAAGGTCAGAAGTCCCCATATATTGAAAAATCTGTCATTTTGAGTCATAGTTAGGCTATGTAAGTATTTATTTGAAAGAAAAGAAAAGAGTTTAAGGACAAGCTTTTGTAGTTAGGTGTCTACGAAGACTAGTTTCTACACATTTTTAGTAGTGGTAAATAACTTAAAATATATTACACGCTTGAAAAAGAATGTATACCATTATAAAAGCGCTAAAACATATAATGATACATTGAAAAGATTCCTCCAAATACAAAAATGCATATACTTTTTAAATATGTTTTACAATAATTTTTCCAGTAGCTGTGATATATAAAATCCCATTCATCTTTGTCATAGAGAAATCAACTTAAACCTTGAGTTGATAATATGGGCATTGCACCAACTACAGAATGATGCACAACTTCAGAGGTCTATTGCACTGATCTGCCACCAGGAACCACCAGTAGACTCATGAATGGATCTAAGAGTGCAAGATGGCCTGGTCCTACCAAGACTGATCACAGGCTTATCCAGTCAAATAGGTAAAGAATATTTATTATAAGTCGATTTTTAACAAAATTTAATTTGTACTCTGTGAGTTCTGTCATTGTATGGCTAATTAAATCATTCTGCTCTCCAACTGCTTAGCAACTGTCATTATCCACCATTGCCTGAAGCCTTCAGATTGTTATCAGTGCGCTGGTGTTAGAATTTTAAAACTCAAGCTGAGGTTAACACTGTAACTGAGGATGTTTAAAAAAGTGAGTATGCCGTTTGCTGCCAAAAACAAAAGTTAAAAATGTCAGTTTTCTGTGAATTTAGTAATTGCAGTCCTCTTTTACTACCAAGGCTGAAATGGGCTTTGTGAAAATGTCAAACGTTAATTTAATGCATTGAGTAATCAAAGATAAGACATAAAGACATTTTTAATGCCCGCCGTGGCAGTATGCATGAAGGGTGTTACAGTGTTGGATGTGTTTATGTGAATTATGCATTCTGGTTGACTGCTATTGTTTTGTACCACGACAGTGGTGGAAGTGTTGGAATAGGTAAGGTGATGACTGCATGGCTGTCTGGGATGGGCTATAGCCTCATTTAATTAGACTGTGAGGCATTAGTGCATTTCGAAAATTTTATGTACCAAAAATTGGCCTGCCCACTTTTTCACCGGCCTACACAAAAGTATATTTCTACCTACACCACTGGCTGCGGGAGCGATAAATGTGAGAAGTTTACTTAATTCACTGTGAAACAGGATGCTAGTGTAACTGATGGAGAATGAGTGTGATGTGTGCTGAGTGATCAGCATGAGTATTGACTGTAGGAGCTGAATTTTGAATGAGTTGAGGTCTTTTTATTATTTTTTTTTTATAAATTAAAGACATTTAAATCCTATAACTGGGGATTTTTCATGGAAGATTGTTTTATTGTAGGATTATAGTATAAATTATGTGTGGAAAAATCAGCTCTTAGCGTTTGCATGGGAAAAACTTGAAGCTACTGTTGTTTGTGCAGGGGATATGAGCTATATGTCTAAGAACATGGTCTGCAATTTGGTTTAAAGTTGGGACTTTGGGGTCTGAACATGGGCCCTAAACTTTTGGCTTGGAATAGACTGCTGGGTGCCCTATAGAAGTGCAGGGCAAAGGTTAAATGATGGATGTTTAGCAGATCAGTAAAGAGAATTTATTATTCGAATTAATGATCTGCTATATTAAAGTATCTGCTTTAGAGATTTAACCTCTGTAGAAGTTGGTTTCAACTTTTATAATGGAAGGGTATGGAATTCAGTATAAGCTTAACTGGATTAGTCAAGTTAGGTTAAGCTGGTTTATTGATAACTTGTTTAAACCTCAGTTTTATTGTGGATTTCATTAATATATACAATACTGAGCAAAAGTCAGAGACCACCCTTCATTTAATTTCCAGTCACAACAGCCATTGTGCTATTTATTTTTCAGCATCAGAAAAAAACATACATTTAACAGAAATTACACAGAAGCCTCAACAACTAAATATCATCTTTTTTAGTACTTAGTGTGTCCACTTTTATTTGCTTTCAGTTTTTCAAAGAAATCTGCAGGGACACCGCCATAGTTCAGTCTTAGGAGTTGGTTGCATTTTCTGCTTCTCACAATCCAAGTAATCCAAAAGACATTCAATGATGTTGAAGTCTGTTCTGAGAACACCAGCAGCTTCTTTGTTTGATTTGCAAATTTTCTTCATTTTTATCTATTCCCCTTTCTCAGTAATTCTTGACAGCTACGCATCCTTTCAGACCCATAGCGTTGAGTTGTCTTGTCGCAATGGAAGGATGGACAGAAACAGCTGTGGATTTTTTCTGATCTGAAGTAAAAGTGGAGCTTGATTTTCTCCTCTCTCTCAAAGGTGAAAGCTTTATGTGCTGTTTGTCTGATGGTGACAGTTTTGGTGGTCTACCAGGCCTTGCATGGTTGTTAAGAGTCCCATTTATATGTTTTAGTAATTTTTAATCTCCAGTTCTAAAAACTATTCCTTTTCAGTTATTTGCTTCTTCTTTATGCAGTTGGATTATCTTTTATCTAATCTCCTCTGAAATATCACCTAAAAATTGAACAAGTTGTATTAATGGCTGTTTTTACTGTAAAGTATTTAAATGAAGGATAGTCTCTGACCTTTGCACAGGACTGTAAACATACAATTTTTAAAATTAAGTATTTAATGCTTATTAATGCACAAGCTGTCACTTGCATCTGATATATTTAAAGTACTCTTTAGTTTCTTTTGATAAATGGCTAATCAGACTGTACCATAACTACACTTTCCCATCATGTCCTGTCATGATCTTGCTAATGATTACCCAATGAAAGGTTGTACAGAGGTGGGGGGGGGTGAATCTTTGGCATGTCCATACATGTCTAGAGTAGGCCTCAGTTAATAAAAGATGTTTTTTAAAAATATTTTAGACATAAGCTGTAATCATGTAAGATTTACACAAAGAATTAATAAGCACAAATAAAGAATAATCACCCACTTTTTGGCGCCTTTAAAAGCCAAAGATATGTGATTATTTGGTAACACCGACAGAATCAGCTACTTAGTCAGGTAGTTTAAGGAGCATCTCTACTATCTAGGGTATGACTATATGATATGTCCTACTGAAAAATGACTTAAGTACTTTGATATAAAATTTGTCAGTTTAGGTACTATTTATTTAAAAATCACATCATAGTACTTTTGTATAATTTGAATGAGAGTCAGTTTTGGCATCCATCTATGCTTTAGTAGGCTAAAAACATTTTAAATGCACAATACTAAGTGTAGCTCCAAAATGATGTCAAATAAATAGAAGACCAAATTACTTTATTAGCAACAGGTGACCTTTTAATGAAAATCTGTAGTTTTAATAAGAAAACAATTATTCACTGTAGTTCAATTTTTGATTTTTCATATTTACCCACTCCACATAAAGGTAGAAAAAAGTTTAAAGAAAGTTTTGTTAAGAGTTTTATTAAGAGTTTTCTTTCCTTCTAGTTTGTTCTAATCACATGAGGTCTGTTACATTCAGACAGGTGACAAATTAAAGGAAAGTGTCTAAGTAACATTTTAGACCACCACGAGCCGCCAGCACAGCTTCAATGCACCTTGTCATTTATTCTGAAATGTCTCTGAAACTTGCTGGTGGGATGGAACAATATAGCATATGATTTGTATAATTTTCGTACTTATTAAACCACTCAGTGACCCCTCGTGCCCTGTGAATGGATGAACTAGGATATAGGATAGAAATGATTCATGTGTGTAGGATAAAGGTCTTCAGTCAGAACAGCTTTGTATTGACCTGCGCTGACCCTTTGCCAGAGTGGACCCAAACAATGCCAGTAAAATGCCCTCCATAGTTCGACAGAACCACTAGACCTCCTCACTGTAGCAGTCCAGCCTGTGCTGTTGCCACACATACACCCACCCACTTGTGGGGAACATGTTGAAGGCTGAATCATCTGACCATATTACATTGTCCACATCTGTGTAAGACCCATGCCTGTTTTTACACTTTCAACTCTAAAATGTGCATTCATCTTTGTAGTGAGGAGTTTGTTCACTGCAACCTACTATAATATCCCTCTCTTTGTAGTTAGTAGTCTAGTAGTCTGATCACATCCTGCATTGATATTCTCAGTCACCTAAAGAACAGCATCACAGTCATTGAATGTGTTTGAATTTCCAACCCTACTTACTGATTCCCTTAGATCTAAATGCAATGTCACCCCAGTAACAATTCTATTGAAACACTGGCCAGTTGAGCAGTCTTTGTGACTGAAGCTCCTACCATCCATGCCCTGATAATGAATCCTCTTTCAAAGTCACTCATACTTTTTTTCTCTTGCCATCTTGATCCAAAATCAAAGTCAACTGGGCCGGCTCTGCATTTTAACATATGCCACAGCGCACGGTAGAATGTTAATTGCTCAATTGTCTCATGGAGTATGCATGTTTTGGAAGCACTCATGTTTCTCCACTCATTAATTCTGTTTTCTCCTTTAATTTGTCACCCATCTGTAGTTGCTTACATTGTATTGAGTTCCAGTGGATAGCAAAAAGGCTGCCTTTATATAATCAAATAATATTTTATACTTCTCAGTAGCTCCGACAAGTGTTTTATCTAATTAAGTCATGACTTGATTGAATAATTGCTGCAAGAATGCTCTGAAGACTGAAGAGGTATTTACATCAGCTCTCTCTAGAAATGTTCTTCGGTTGATAAGCTAGCAAATCCCTTTGATTTTATTTGTGACTCACATCTATCAGCATTTTCTCCTAACAGAAAGATAAACTTTACTATAAACAAAATCGGTTCTGTTACAGTTTAATGAAAGTAAACTCTTATTGTATAAAAATACATAACTTTAAATATTTCTATGTGCACAGCATGTATGTACAACACTGGTGAAAAGAAAATGAAACGAAAAGGTTGTAGGGTGAATTAAAAGAAAGCATCATTTTTCTCCTATGAGGATTTTCGGCATCCAACCATGGTTGTCATGTGCCATCTGGCAAGTCCGAAGGTGAAAAAAGAGAAAAGAGAACGTTTCAGTCCTTTCATGATGTTAATGATGTCTGACAAACTTCAAACAAACAATAAGCAATTCTTGTAGCAACTCACCGGATCCTTTATTTCCTTTGCAATCTTATAGCTCTATCTTGTCGTAGATGCTCGACCTTTAGAATAATAAAAGATATCAAAATCCTGGAAGGTTGCCAAGCACACCATAAGAAACTATGATTGAATTACTGTGTAAATAGAAATAGATCTTTGAACAAATACCTTTGTGTTGCTGTTCCCCCTGGTCTCTGAAAGAGCAGTCTGATGTTCTGTGGAGCCCCAGCATAAAAAAAGACATGAAATATGCCACATTTTTGTGCTATTGATCAACAGCACTAGACATTACTCTTATGACTCACCCTTTGCTGTTTGTAGAAGAGGACCGCAGTGAGGAGCAGTAGTGCTAAGCACACAGATGTGATTATGAATGTTGTGTTTATGGAGCTGCTAGTGAGCTGTAAGTCTTTCCCCGAGGGTCTCTCTACATGATCTCTGGAAATATAAGCCTTCGTGTCTTCAGTGTCCTTTTGACATTTGGAATCTAAAGAAAAAAAAAAAAAGACCAACATGTAAAAGCATGACTTAAAGCACTTCACACTGTATTGTGCGCTTGATGATTTAAACGTGCACTAATTCCAAGCATAACATGTAGAATTTTAGTGTTTCACTGGACCTTAATGCCTTTCCTGGTGGCTTTCAAATGTACTGTAAATGTAAATGTTAAGTGTACATTAACTTGTGTAGATTTGCACTGCGCAAGATGAACTACATATGCACAACAGCTTAACAAATGATCTGGTTGATTCTCAATAGCATTAGGGTTAGGATTAGAATCAAGGTTAAGGATAGGATTAGGATTGCATTACAATTTGAGGTTAAGGTTAGGGTTAGAGTAAAATATGGGCAGTGACTGGTTACATTTACTCAATTTTGATGTATCTGTACCAGACATCACTTCATGTCCATTGTGAGTCTTTAGTAGAGAATTTCAGTCTTGTTATTGGCTGCAACTGTCAGGTTCAACACAGCTTTAAATAACAAACGTCTCGTTACAGAAGAGTCTTCAGTCTGAAGGATAGAGCTGAAGCACTAAACACAGTAACTACAGTCATTAAAATAAAAGCGCAAAATAACTTGAAATGGTTGGTTAGTCTGTAGTTTGTAAGTATGCTAGCTATCTAGCGTAATGGCTACTCAGGTTTTTCCAGCTCAAGCTGTAGTAAATTTTAAAGGAATGAGAAATGGGAACTTTGGCTAGATTAGCAGGCAACCTTCGCTAGTTTTGCCTTTTCCTTTTAAACACTGCATTTACTGCATGTAGCACTTCTGTCCTTCAAAAGGTTTTTTTTTTATAATGAAAGGCTCATTAATTGAAGTTGTATTAAATCTGTCACTGCTGTGAGCTGTGAGGAAAACAGCATTACAGTAATTACTGCCGTCTACCTTTCTTGATTGAGTCAGTTGAGTCAGAGTCAGTTAAGTGTGACGCAGAGCCAAGTTGGGAGTCAGGTTAACATGCTATCCTGAGAGCGACTCGAGGCTCTGATTTGTACTTTCTTGAATAAATTGTTGGTGGTTTTGTTTTGTGACTGACAGCATCTGCACAGATTTGCGATTGGTCACATCTCTGACTTTTAGAGTTTGTCATTTTATCTACACCAAAGGAAGAACAACTTTCAAGTTAAGTTCCTGTGCCTATGGATGCTGAATATAGAAAGAAGTTCAGTTCCACTGTGGTTCTAGGGAACTCAGTACTTACTACTTGTTTTGACCTGCTACTTTTGTACTTCTACTCAACTTGCTTTTGGTACTTATACTTTTACTGGAATCATTATTTGATTTGAAGTAACAATACTTTTACTTGAGTATGGTTTTAGGCTACTCTACTCACCTCTGGTTTGAGTGAATAGTGTGTTAACATTTCTCATTGTAAAATGTAAAAAGCTTGCAAAAAGCGCTCAGTGGAGTTTAACAAATGAAGACACAAAAAGTTTCACCTTTGCAGTCTGTTGCCTCACTGAAGGCTTTAATTATATTCTCTGGCAAGGAAGCAGCCATGTGAAGATGAGTTTGGATATGCGTAGGAGTGCTGACATCAGCAGACTGTTCAGCAGGAGGGCTCAAGTATTCTGAAATATCCTCCATTATTTTCAAGGATGGTGCAGCTGTGGCTGATTCTGGTGCTATGTTTTTGTCCACATGAAGTGTTTGGAAAGGGTTGTTTGGTGTTGCTCCAGGAGTGATCTGCAGGAGTGGGCCTTTCTTATGAATTCCTGCAGGCTCAGACGTGGCTGTGGTAATCCAACTCTGGAGAAGTTCTGAGTAGAAATCTGACAGTATTCCTTGGTCTTTGGTATCCAAAGACCTCTTGGCAAGTAAAAGTGCTGTGCTCCTGTGTGAACTGAGTGGTGTGATGCTTCTTTGAGAGGGTTGAGATGTTGCTGAGTGGAGAACAAGAAGAGTTTGTTTTTGTGGTATCCTTGGTAATTCGGTTGAGGTTGTAATGGATGAAGAAAGGACTGATGATGGTGAACTCTCCATCTTTCCGTCCGTCAAATCTGGGGTGGTGGAAAAGATGAGGTTGGGAAAACCCCCAGCTGTTGAACCATAAGGTTCAGAATCTGGTGAAACTGGTGAAGACTGGGTTTGTATTGATTTAGTTGTCTTTTGTTTGCCACCAGGTTCAGATGCTCTAGATCCTTCATTCTTGTGGCTGAAGACAGGTCCCAGATATGGACTGGGTGGTGATATAGTTGTTGGTGCACTTAGAGAAGATTTGATCAGCAGTGATGCCTTTAAAGGTGTAGAACTCATTTTTGTGCAAGAGCAGTGGCACTCTGGGGTCCCTAGGGATAATGAAAGGCATAGTTACATCTATGTTCTTTGTGTACACAAAATCAAGTCTGAACAAGGAGTAACAAATGTGTAATAATGCCAATTAAATTTGTAATTGCTGTTGGACCAAAACCTTGCATTAGATGTCTGCACAGGACCAGTTTTTTAGTCCTGCTCCCATCTGCGCCCACAAGATTTCATCCTACTCCTGCAAACTTCCACAGAAAATCTACATCATTTGTCCTGGTGCCGCCCGCAACCTAAGCATTTTGTCCTGCTCTCACCCACAGACTGAAATAGCCTTTCAGTTGCATTAGTGATGAATTAAAATGACTACCACATGTCAGACTTGCCATTAGCTGGTTTATTGTCATGTAATTGACTTTCTACAGCTGTGTCTGAATGTCTGATGGCTCCAGTTTCTACAGCTTACAAGAATGAAGTTTGCATGTTTATGTGATTGGTTGCTTCACTATTATTTAGAATGAGTTTTTTCATTTTAGTTATTTTGCTATTAGATACTATTTATATACAACCCCATATCCAAAAAAGTTGGGATGCTGTGTAAAATGTAAATAAAAACAAAATGCAATGATGTGCAGATCATTTAAACCCAATATTTAATTGAAAATAGTGCAAAGACAACATATCACATGTTGAAACTGATTTGCCCATGTTGAATTTGATGCCAACAACACGTTCCAAAAAGGTTGGGACAGGGGCAACAAAAGGCTGGTAAAGTTGTGGTGGTAGCTGATTGGCAACAGGTCAGTGACATGACTGGGTATAAAAAAGCATCCCAGAGAGGCTGAGTCTTTCAGAGGAAAAGATGGGGAGGGGTTCGCCAATCTGTGATTTAGTGCAACAATTCAAGAATAACTTTTCTCAATGTAAATTAGCAAAGAACTTTTGCTTTTCATTAGGGGTGCGACGATTATTCGACTTAGCTGACTAAAATCGACACCAAATTAGTTGGCCAATTTATTATTATTATTATTATTATTATTATTTAAAGAATTTAAGAAATGTACAACCAACGTCAGGCAAATACATTATCAGACAACACCAGATAAGAATATGTGAACAGTACTCTCAGCAATATCATCATACCATCAAGCACATCATGACGTCAGAGAGAAAGGATGGAACCCAACAACCTGCATACATAACACCTATATGTCTAAAGGAGAATGATACATACACGTATACATATACACATACTCACTCTCTCTCTCTCTCTCTCTCTCTCTCTCTCTCTCACACACACACACACACACACACACACACACACACACACACATACAAAAGGAAAGCCAGTTAATCAAATGTCTCTCCATAAAGCTGGTCAGAGTAATTCAAAAATCTATTACTTTTCTTAGTTTCTACAAGATGTAAGGACTGGAGTAGTCATTTAAATTCCACTAAAAAGAGGGACAGGGTTGGCTGAGAATTTGTAAACTTCTGTTTATGAATAAAGAATTTAGCATGTAGAATGAAAAAATTAACAATATACTCAAGAGGCTTGTTAGTTAAGTTATTGTAGTAACAAATAATGTCTTTGAGATTAAAGGAATAAGTAATTTTGACAGTGTTAAAAATGTGAGCACATAAGTTGGACCAGAAGTCATTCGTTCTCTCACACTGAAAAAATAAATTAGTTGGCAACTAATTTAGTAGTCAATTAGTTGGGGATGTCATTACACGTCTTTCTCGCGCTCACTAGGAACGTTTTGACATTACCGCTTAATGGAGAGTTAACAACAGCGCGATGGCAGCCTCAAGAACAAAATCCTCAAAAGTGTGGGAGCTAAACTCAAAAAAAAGGTTGTCAGTTGTGCTATTTGTAAAGCCGACCTTAGCTGGCATGGGAGCACATCCTCCATGATGGAGCATCTGAAGAGGAAACTTGTCGGCTCAGTGGATGAAGAAGATTCATTTCGGTAAGATACGCCACGTCCAAAACCGCATACTAGCACACTAAAAAGTGTGTAAAAATAGCGCATGTACCATTAGAAATGCACTCATTAGTGTAGTATGTGAAGTACAGAAGTGTGTAGTTTGGGACGCGGCGATAGTTGTGCTAGCGAGCTAGTTAGCTAATGTTAATGTTAAATTCCGTCCTACTTCATGTTCTGAGCTGAGCTGTAACATCTATTTCGAAATGCATGTTCTCTTGAATCGTTAATGGGGTTGGAACAGAGAAGCAATTAATTATTATTCACAGCGACGCTGCTCACTTTCCAGATAAAGTTTACAGTTTTAAACATTGCATCGTTGTCTTAACGTCGAGGCCACTGGTGCGCTCAAGTTTGGCAAACACAGGCAAGCGTCTGCTAACAGTTTTGTTTTCTGCGAACGTTTAGCACCACTCGCTAACAGTTTCAGGAGGTAGTTCTCAGCGGACACACAGGGTAGCTGGACAAAGGGTAGCTACCACTGAAATGAAGAGTTTACACAAAATTGTTAAAATTTAAGTGTTCATAGAGAAGTCTGCCACAATCATTCGCTACTTTCCCATCTGCTCCATCAGAGCGCGTTTTCCCTGCAGCGGGGAGTATCTGCTGGTAGAGGAGAGTGAGCCTCTCACAGGACCACAGACACTGACTTCAATAGAGATCTGTGATTGTAGAATGTAGTTTCAGCAAAGTGTAGACAGTCAGCAAATTGCACAGAGCACAGGCTGCACTGTTTAACAGTTAAATTTAGATACATTTTTTATTTACTTGATTAAAGGAAAATTGATTCAGATTTGTTATTTTGTTGCTGCTACTTTGCACTTCCTTGATCATAAATTTTGACAGGAAAAAAAAAACATTGGAGGAAAGTTCATTAAAACTGAATTCTTGAATGTTATTCATCTATATTGTCTTCATTGTTATTTAGCAAATACATAAAACAACCTCAAGCTAAATTTAAAAGCTAATAGCTACAAAAAATGTCATTTGGTAATGTAGTGATTCATAATCCGAAGGATCGATTATTCGTTTCAGTATTCGATAGATTATTTGAACTATCAAATTGCAGCCCTACTTTTCATCATCTACGGTACATAAAAACATTAAAAGATTTGGAGAATCTGGAGAAATCTCTATATGCAGTCGACAAGGCCAAAAACCAGTATTTGCTGCCCATGATCTTTGGGCCCTCAGGTGGCACTGCATTAAAAACAGACATGATTCTGTAGAGGAAATTGCTGCATGGGCTCAGGAACACTTCTGAAAACAGTTCGTCACTGCATCCACAAATGCTAGTTAAAACTCTAAAACACAAAGAAGAAAGCATATATAAACAGGATCCAGAAACACCGCTGCCTAAACACTAGTGCACATGGCATGGGTGACATGCTCATCTGTAAAGGCACCATTAATGCTGAATGATATATACATGTTTTGGCGGCATATGCTGACATTGAGACAACGTCTTTTTCAGGGAAGGCCTTGTTTATTTCAGCAATACAGCACCAAACCACATTCTGCATTTATTACAACAGCATAGCTCAGTATTAAAAGAGTCCGGGCACTAAACTGGCCTGCCTGCAGTCCAGACCTGTCACCACTGATAACATTTGGCACATTATGAAATGAAAAATCCGACAAAGGAGACCCCGAACTGATGAGCTGCTGCAATCCTATATCAAGCAAAAATGGGAAAACATTTCACATTCAAAACTACAACAGTCGGTCTCCTCAGTTCCCTTACTACCATGCTTACAGAGTGCTGTTAAAAAAAGAGGTGATGAAACACAGTGGTAAACATGCACCTGTCCCAACTTTTTTGGCACATGTTATTGGCATCAAATTCAAAATGGGCATATATTTAAAAAAAACAATAAAATATCTCAGTTTCAACATTTGTTGTCTTGTTGTCTTTGTAGTATTTTCCTTTAAAAATATGGTTTACATGATTTGCATATCATTACATTTTGTTTTTATTTACATTTGGCACAGTGTCCCAACTTTTTTTGGAAGTGGGGTTGTACTAATTATTAATGATTGATATCATTCTATTTAGGCTATTCATTAATTTGCGGGAAATTTATCTAAATGTTCTAACCAATAGGAAAGCTCATTAGGCTGTACCTACCACTGGGGAAAACATCCTAATTATCATTTTCCTTTGGGTGGTCCAAGAATTTAACCCATTTGTTTCCAATCCGAACTTAACAATAAAATAAGAGTAGTACTGCAATATTTGCAGAGCTTACATAAAACAAACATGATGACTATATCAATTGACAGACACTGGCATATTTTTAATTTTAATCATTAGGCCTTCTCCAATGGCTTATACAGTATAGCTTGGATTTTCAAATTATGTCAAACAAAAAATAACAAAAAATGTAGATACAAGGTTTTGTCCTGACATCAGTGATACTAATTTCAGCATGAAAGGGTTTTTTTTATCTATTATGATGTATTGTTTTTCATTTATTGCCCATTCTATTTCTACCAATTCTTTTAAGTAAGCTCATATTTCTGTAATCAAAAAAGAAATGTTCTGATTTATGCTTTTTCTATTTTTACCTGACATTTGGGTGAGAAGTGCAGTGGTTGATTCTTGAGAGTCCTCTGCATACTCATCTTCACAGTTCCATTCCATAGGTTTGTCGTTCTTAGTCACCAGATTCTGGTACATTTGAATGACCTCCTCTGCTTTTTCCAGTCCCACCCTGGGCAAGGTCGTGTAGAGCTTAGCAAACTTCACTGGATTGTCCTAAGCAAAGGAGTCATGTCAGGAAAATGCAAAATATCATTGTAATTGATGGTTCCTAAATATACTGCTTAAAATAGAAAGCTAAGACCCCATTAAAAGCAAGTGAACCTGGTATCCTGAGGCATCGAAGGCTCCAGTCGTATCTAAGGCTTAATCTATCTGTAATCTAATTTCTTTTGCCATTATTTCGCTGTGTCCTCGCCAGACTCCCTAGCCTTATGATGTGTCCTAGGAGGCATATCTGTAAGTCAAAATCTCCAGTTAATACAAATCACATTGCTGCCATGAGGTCCACGATCTTAAATTAACTCACTGATGTCAGCTATCTCGGCTAAATATTCCATCAGCTAGTGACTTTTTCCTTGGATGCTGATAAGGCTTTGAACTCGAGAAATTAAATAATACTCCAACTTTGCAAGAAAACACCTCTATGCATTACATTTTCAATGTAACGGGCCCACTAGGTATCACAGCGCATGTTTTGTGTTTTGCTAGTTATCAGTTAGGTATAAGTAAAATTTTCCCAAATAAGCAGCATCCATGATGAATAAATAATTAAGAGATTGACAGATTAGAAAAGGTATGTCATAGGGATGCTGAGAGGAACACTGTGGTAGGGGACCGAATACCACAGAACAAAGATAGAGGTAGAAGCTGTGAGACCAAGGCACATAGCATCCGTCATCACAGCTGCAGTAACTGACCATGTGCTATGGATAACAGGGCACTCCCAAAACATCTGTAATGCATTAACAACTGTTCCAGTATTATGTACAGTACATTGCAGTACGCATCTCCAGACGTTTAGATCAGAATGGTTTCACAAGGCATAGTCTTTTTTTTAGGTGAATTACGATGTATGTCTGCACCATCAAAGGTTTTGAAGAAATGATTTACTTCTAAATAATTAATATACTGAAAATTGTAATGGCCAATGGACAGTATGACAGAGTGGATTATTGGAAATGGGAAAAGTATTTCTGTAGAAAATTCTGTGTATTTTGCAAGATGAACCATATTACCTCAATCTCCTCATTGATTGGAGGGATGCATTTCTGTGAATAGATGTTGTAGATTAGGTTCTTCAGTGAGCTAATGTAGTTATAGTTGTCAGAATCTCTTCCATATCTGAAGTGAGTGTTCAGAAGGTCCAGGATGTGAGGGAATGCTGCTTTAATGTAGCAGACGTCACTCTGAAAAAAGAGGAAGCAATGACATGCTTTTTCTCCAGCTTCACTGACAGTAAGATCCAACAGACACTAAAATAAGTGATGTATTCACTTTACTTGACTGTAGTAAAGGTGTGCTCAATTCCATATGAATTAAATACATCACATCAACACAATGTCCTTTAGTGCAGCAGTTCACAAAGGCACCCTTAGTGGACAGTAAGTGCCACTGCACTCCCCATTACTTTCACTTGATGACCAAGGATGACACACTGCTAAGAAACCCACCTTCTTAAACCACTGTGAAGGTTAACCTACTGAACAACATTGTTTAATGTACTAAACTGTAATTAAACGTATAATGTCACACAGACTTTTAATGATGTCATGCGCAATGTTAACAGTTTTCTGTACCTTAATCCTTTATAAACAGGTTGTTGTGAGACAGAACCAAACACCCTCTTACATTCTGCTCATGAGATATCAAATACTTTTTAAATGCCAAAAAGTCTTGTTGCACTTTACCGTGTTTATGATCATTTGTTTTTATTCTTTATTTTTAATTCCTGAAATGCATCTATTTAACTGGATGTGAATGTAATGTGAATGTGATGTGAATGTAAGAATCTTTTGACCCCTGTTATACCTAGGATGCCATACTGTAATACCGTATTCTGAAGAACAGCTATCCATTTAAAAATTTCATTCCATACAAGAGCATAGGGGAGAGCAGAGAACGAACTGGTACGTAAAATGTAACATGGATTTTTAATGCAGTCAAACAAGATCAAATTGACAGTGCTTTCAGTCATGTTGTCATATTCCCCTAACAACGTCATCTGTGAATTATGGCAGCAATCAGACAAATATTTCTCGAGATTCACCCTGTTGACTGTTTTTGTACCATAACAACTTTTTCATCCTGAGTGTTTTTCGATTACTGAACTGGGCAACACTTTACAGTAGGGTACTGTTCATAAGGCTGCATGACACCAACATAATCTTATCATGACAACTAACATAACCCTGCATAAATGTTTAGAAATGCATATTCCAATAGGCGTCATCTGTCAGACAGGCTGCTTTAGCTAACTTTGATCAAAATTAGCAAATGTAACCTTAATAGCGAATGATGCCTGTTGGAATAAGCATTTATAAACATTTGTGTAGGGTTATGTCTGTTGTCATGACAAGCTTATGTAGGTGTCATGTAGCCTTATGAACAGTACCCTACTGTGAAGTGTTATGGACGTCACACCTATATTATTTTATTTGCCTTCTTGGTGGCTGTAACATAGTACTATTTTTAAGCAATATTTAGCCAGGCTAAAGTACAGCCTCCACACAGTGAAATTAGTTGTAAAGTGGTGTTACAACTAAGCCTTCGTAAATAAACAATGAAAGAACATATCTTGTATATAAATTCAAAATGATACATTTCTTGGAAGTTTTTTGTGCAGATTCATCAAAAACATGCTACTGATGTCTGGCAAACAAAATACATTTCAATTTTATCCAGCTCTTCTACTTTGTGTTCAATATTAAATTTGTCACATTTAACACAAAGTCTTTTCATAAATCATTTTTATTTTGATAAATATATTTATATATATTTAGGTTAGGAATCCTATTTAGTTCAGTTGTATGCAAACGTTTGAACACCCCTGGCTAAATTACATTTTGTTGGTTTTCTAAATGAAAGTAAGCCAACACATCCTCTACAGGGAACAAAACATTGACCAACAGTTTAACATAAAAAATACATATATATAACATGTGCCATAACTTTTGCAGAGACCACATTTTATGCTTGTGTTTCCCAATGTTAAATTCAGGATGTGTTAACTTATTTGCATTTAGAAAATCAGCAAAAGATAATTTGACTAGAGGCACCCAAACGTTTGCACCCAAGTCTAAATTTGTATTGTAATAATTGTGTTGTGCATGAATATACCAGACTTCTTAGCGACTGTTACAAGCCACTCCATCTGTTACAATTAAGCCCGCCAATTAACTTTCTTCCACTTCCGGTGAAATGAACCCCTTAACATTCCAGGCTTCTTACCCACTAAGGCTTATTATTCCTAAACTACAGGGACTTCAGTGCAAAGTAATGGAGCTTATAGAAGTGTGTATTAAACCTTGAGCTTGCACAAATTTTTTAAAAATTATTAAGCAAAAATCAAAATGTGCCCTGCTCTTCCTTACTCATTCAAATGAGACAGTACTTAATGGTAAAGCAGTGTTTCAAAGCAACATCTAGCAGCCAGTGATTTGACTTGGAAAAGCCTGTTTTCTATTTTTATTTTCTTTAGTGTTTTCTTTATGGTAAACCCTTTGCGTACTGCAAACACATATGAAGGGTTGTCACCAAAGTCTATTTCACATTTCACGTTTAGCCAAAATAGTTTCTACTGAGCCACTAAAGTTTCATTTGATTTAATTTAATTTGACAGACTTGAAGAAGTTTCTGATTTCACCATGAAAAACCTTCTGTCAGAGTCAAAGACTTATGTTCTTGATGCTAATTGGGATAATTAGTGTCTCTTGAGTGTGGTTTACCCAGTCATCAACCTCTTTCAAGGAAAAGATAAAAAGTGTACGTGACATGCTTACCAAGTTTTGGCGTTCTGTGAAGTTATAGCTAATAGAGCAGCCATTTTGAAGTTGGTTCCCAATCTGAAATTGGAAAATGTTGGACAGTGAATAAATAGGTATTTGTAACACTGAAAGGAAAGGCTATGCGACGCCAATCTCCCAAATACTTTAAGCTCAGTTAATATGGGGGTTTCTACTTATGTGACCTGTTTTCTTGACAGTGATACTCTGTAACATTTACTTAACTTACATTTTAATGACACTTAAACACAATGCATATTATAGGCATGAAAATGTTAATAAAAACAGTGTTACTCACCAGACGTCTTAAGTTGAGGAGATGGTCCTTTGTCACTGAGTGCTTACATGGACCTGGCACAGCGCCATAGGCCAAATGCAAGCACAGGACAAGGAAGGAGCACAGATGCCTTATCTGCAATCAGACAAGAAGTGCAAATAAGATTAAGAACTGCAGCACAAACCACTGCAATCTGGCCTTTTACCATTTGTAGTCTATCACCACATTACGGTGACTAGCAGCAGTGAATGGCGTAATAAGACAAAAAAAGAACATGAATAAAGGATGTTAAGTCAGTATTATTTCCTGGTCTTGACTGGTATTAAGAAAAAAAAATGCCTTTCTCTCACTGTAGTCTGTTTTTAACATATAGCAGTATTGCACTGGACAAAAAATGTCATTTAAGTTTAATTCTAAAAAACATCTAGCAGGATATAACCAGGCTTTCCAATGGTTTCCAAAGTACATTCTGAAGTATACACTGCTTTCTCATGTGTAGAAGTTATTTTTCCTTCCCCAGGAAACACTTTAACACTGAACACATAACACTTAACATAAAAAATATTGTTCTTGGAGGGAAAACAGCATAAATGTCGTTATCATCCTAAATTTTATAGAAAAGAATTATACTGTTTTAGTGCCAACTTGCCTCAGCACAGCAAAGTGATATTTGTGTTGCAAAATATTTGCTAGGCAGGGCCTGTTCTAGTTGAATAATCTTGTTTACAATACTGCAAATCTGATAAATGGTTGCAACAGGAGGAATATTAACAGTAGTCAAAGCAACTGAGAGCCTTTAGGCCTCAAATCAAAAAACTTTCAACACAGGTGGTCATTGTAAACAAACTTTATTAAAAAAGCCTGTGGTTAATCTGGTATGACTGTAATTAGGAAACTGTGAATGAATCACAAGTTGGAATACAGTTTAGAATACCAAAGGGGGTAGAGTGACAATAACAATGGTTTCCATTTCATTTAAAAGACTGTTGTCTAAAACCCCCTGCCAGTTCCAGTGAAATGAGTCCCAGTTTTTTAAAAGTGGTTGAAATTCGCAAACCACGCTCTTCTTTGGTTTCTCCAGTTATTTTAGATCTTGGTTTTCTGACATTAGAGTGAACCAGCATCCATAAACACTAAGTGTGGGCTGAATAAAGTCTGAGAGATGAATGTCAGAGAATTGCCAAAAGCAGGAAAAGCAACTTTTGGGTGGTTTCTTGAGCAGATGATGTGGCGATCTTTAACTGCGCATTTCACAATTTCACAAATAAACAATACTGGGAAAGTATATCAATTTACATTATATGTAAAAATATATGTTATATGTTACATTATATGTAAATGTATTACATAGGTTTTGAAATATATTTATAATATATTGCAATATATTTAATTTTTATGTAATTTTAGCCATCTTAGTAGAAACCTGAAGCATTACTAGTTATTAAAAGTAGATATTAAGCTGTTTTTTTTACAAAGATTATCTACATAACCTAGTCGTGCTAAGTACCAATACATCTTTAAGAAATTTCTTGTGATTTACTCTAATTTAGTCCAGGTCTGTATTATTCTTTAGTTTCAAAATGAACAAAAATAAAGTAATAAATTGCTGGAATAATATGTGGCAGGAATTACCACTATTAATCATTCAGATTGGGCTGATGGTTCTAGCTGGCACAAAGTGGTCTTCACAGTTTGACGTAAAGCGAATGTTCAGAAGGAACATTCTGAAACATTTTTCATTTAAACCACCTGTCAGCAGAGCAGAGGGAGGATAAGCTGTTCTCGCTCTGACTGTTTGTAAGATCGTAGCGTTCGTAATAGTATATAATTGCTTGAGCATCGCACAAATTTACAAGCTGCCTTCCTGGGACATCTTTCTGTTCAAACACCAGACAGAATAAGACTAAGTTTTATGCATTAAAGCTCTTACCTTGGCTTTGTGGGCTGGTGTGTTTTTGTTCATCAGAAGTCCACATTTGGAAAGGCGTCCACATTGAGATTCATTGGAGTTCCTTTGCACTTCTTGCCTTGTCCCAGACGAAGGAGGAGCAGGTCACTCTTAGGATGCTCTCTGTGCAGCCAAAACTAAATGCAAGCCAGTCCTTTGGGACGTCCGTGTTGCTGGAATTTCTGATGCGCAGTCTGTCAAAGCGTACCAACAGCATGAATGTGTGAAGATGTTTGTGCTCTCTGGTGCACTGGTAAACTGAGCTAGGCTGAATCCCTCCTACTCTCTTCATAGGTCTTTTACAGGAAATCACTCCTTAGCTGCCCTGCAGACTGGACCACTTCCAAAGCTTGTCTGTGTATTTGCCTCTGGGAATTAGCTCCCCAATGACCAATCATCGGCTGCTGTTTACAATTAAAACAGCCACTGCTATGGTGGAGTTGGTTTTATATGCTATTGCATAGTAATTACTACCTTCTTAAACTTAGTAACGCATATGATTATTATATTTTATAATATAATAATATTATGATATAATTTTATAATATTATATAATTTCAGTTTAATTTTATTTATATGGCACTTTTTACGAGACATTGTCCCAAAGCAGATTTACAGAAACTCTGGTCCACACCACTAATGAGCAAGTGGTATGTTATGGTGGCAGGAAAAACTCCCAAAGAGCATGAAGAAAAAGCACCCAAAGGGAACCCCATCCATATATATATATATATATATATATATATATATATAGTATTAGGCTAAATCACAGTGTTAGTGGTGAATCATCATTGGAAATTCCTTGTTAATCTAGGCTTGAGCTTAATCTGGGTCTGGGAAACTGGCCCTCAGAGCTTTAGGTATGATATGATCTGAGATATGATACTATATATGATATCTGTCCAACAATGTTTTTACCAATAGTGGGGACCAGGCATTTGGATGACAGTATTTATTTTGGTGGTTGGCGCTTTCCTCCGAGCGTGTTCAGCAGTCCGATGACGTTGCATGAGCAGCAGTTCGAAAAGATGCAGTGGCTGGCTTCACAGGTCTCGGAGGAAGCCTGTGTTAGCGTTCACCCTCCTAGCGTTGATAGTATTGTGTGACAGGTGGAGAGTACTAAATTGGGAGAAAATTGGGTAAAAATCCCCCCCCCCATTAAAAAGCTTAATATGAAGATGGTTCTTTAGTAAAGACAATGGTTCTATATAGAACCATGAACGTTCTTCAGATTGATGGAGAATGCATTATTTATGGTTCAGTATAGTCAAGAACAATGTTATGTGAAATTGTCTAGAAAGTGGACAAAAAATTCCAACAAAGAAGCTGCTGGTGTTCTGAGTACAATAGACTGGCCACTCCAGAGTTCAGACCTCAACATCATAGAATTTGCTGGGGATTACTTGAAGCGTGAGAGCAGAAGGTGAAAGCACTTTCTAAAGTTGAACTTTGGAAATGTGGAAAAATATCTCTGCAGATTTCTATAAAAACTGAAAGCAAAACCCAAAAAGAATGGAAGCTGTAATGAAGGCAAAGTTTGATATGTAGTTCAAATTGAATAATTCAAACATAAAGGCCGTTTTGACTGGAAATGAGATACATGAAGGTGGTCTCTAACCTAACCTGCACAGTACTACATATAAATGTGCGTGTTTATAAATCAGTAGGAGAGTTAAAAATATACATTATGATCATGACAATGATTAATCACACTTTTTGTGTAATTGACTTTCATCGAGTAAATATGACAGTCCTACTTGGATGGCATTTTACACTCCTATAGTCTTTTTTTGACAAGAGGCAAAAAGGACTTGTTTCATGACAAATTGATCATGTGTCCAGGATGTACGTCATTTGCCACTTAGAATATTATCGTAAGCAGAAGGGGGAAGAGCACCACGCTTATGTTTTTAGATTACAAGTTTCCAGCACAAGGGTTTGATCTATTATCTAATTACACAGTCTCTGAACACAGGCTCTGTCTCCACTAACTGTCATTATTCTGTAGAAACAGGCAGAATTGTGCCCATTGCACCAATTTGGCAGTCAGTGGAGTACTATTTAGTGTGCACCTTGAGTCTGAAGAATGTAAGGATTTATAGTTTTGGAATGTGGTAATTCTTGCAGCCAGCAGTTCCAGTTGAAATAAAAAATAGTCTCAGTAGTGCTACAAGATGTATACAAGGCAAACTTGCTCTTTATGGTTAAATATTTTTACACTGTCAAGCGAAAACTGCTCAGAACATCCTGTTTTTAGTTCCTACAAAATATTATTAAATTACTGTTCAGTTTCTCCACCCTAAACTACAAATAAACATAGCATGATGCTGCAGCAGGATACATGACAAAAAAAATTCTATGTGAGCGTATCTTGAGATGCTAACACACATTTTAAGCCTATTAATACCATCATCAAACAACAATAAAATGCATATCTGTTGTTGAAAATGGGTACATTAGTTGGACATGGAGACCCAAGATTACAGCATGCACATGATTCATTTGGTGAACATAAAAAACCCTTATTGGCTCTGTTCAGCCATATTAGATTACATTAGAATATTTTTAGACTATAAACGATCTGGGATCAGCTCTTCTTGTCCATATAATCTACTCATTTCTACTCATTAGTACCAGTGCGTTCATATTTGCACTAGTAATCAAATTAGCAAGGGGTAATGTTAGTGGCGCCAAGGGACAGAATCAGACCTGTATGTCAAAATAGATAGAGCTTGTCAAGCCTATAGTTATTTCACAAAATGAGTGGATAATAACCACATGATCCTGGCACATGTTTTACATGTAGACAAAAATGCAATGAGCAATAATAGAGATTAAACTAGATTAAACTACACAAAAGAGGAAGAGTAAATATAGCTGTCTTGAATGCAGGTTTCTGGAAAGCATTATAAATTGCAAAAGTAAACCTTATTTTTTATTTTGTTTACAATTTTTAAACGTGTTAGAAGAATGACTGTATTCATTTACATGAGCAAAATGGGGTAGGTATTTTTTTGTTGTACTGTTCTGACACAAGATACACAAAACCTAATGCTGCTACTTATTAGGCCTTCGAAAATATTATAACTGACTTCCTTTTTTGTTTATATTGTTCATGGCAATGAACATGAGGGTAAAGGGAAGGAAATGAAGCAATGAGGGTAAAGTGCAAAATGTTAACTTTAATTGGAGAGTATTTACTTCTATATTGGGTGAACCATATAGAAATCACAATCCTTCTTTTATACATTTCCCATTTCAGGGGACTGTATGCAGTTTGACAGTTGGTGGGTCAGTTGTGACTTGGCCAGCTTTGTGTCACTGCATCATCAGTTCTTGCATAAGAAAGCTAACAAAAAGTGAAGAGCTCATTCCAAATGTGACATGTGCATCTGGAGCCTGTTGTATGTTGTCCTTTAACATGAGAACCAAAGACGTGTCAACACCTGTAAAGCAGGGTAAATCAGACCACAGTGACTCTTTAGAATTATAATTAAACTAAAAAGTCACAGAGACACGGCAAAATACAACAAAATTAACTGGTACGTTGTTAACCCCTTAAATGGCGATCCACCCACGGGCCCAAAGTTTTATTACACACTTATATATGGATTCTAAGACATTCTTAGATTATACAGGGTGTCCCAAAAAAATGTACATCATTTGAGATGTGAATATCTGAGTAACTACATGTCCTAGGCAAACGAAATGAAATAGGCACAATACAAATGTTAAGGCACAATATTACATGTTGAACAATACAAGATTTATTATCAAAATTCAAACAAAAAATTCAGTGGGATGTAGATTTTATAACCGATTTCACAAAGCTTCACAAATGTAATATCTTCCGATACTGGTGGTCGTCCAGATCCCTTTGCCCTGCACAGACAGGCTTCCTCTTTTAATTTTTTGTGCCATGTCCAAATCTGCTTTCCAGTTGGTGCATTTTTATTGAATTTTCTTGAAAATGCATGCTACACACTCTTGTTTGACTGTGTTTGAGCATATTCTAACACACAAAATGCCTTTTCATTTCTAGTGAACGCCATTCTTCAACCTGAAAAAAAAAACATTACAAATTAAACTTGGTTAGTTTTTACACATTTTGTTTACATTTAAGATCATTTGAGGGAGAACTGTCTATGTTATTAGACTATGAAATGATGTCAAGTTTTTTGGGACACCCTGTGTATAATCTAAGAGTAGCTCCACCAGTTTGCATTGAAGTCCCTGTAATAACTGAATAATAAGCCTAAGTGCATAATAAGCCTATGATTTTATGGGATAAAGGAACAAAAATGATCACACAATGGTTTCTGTCATGAAGCAAAACTGATGAACGCGCAGATATATGAGCTCAACCATCAACAGAATTCTGTATTCATGCACTGAGATATTAAAAATGTTCTTTGTATGTACCATGGAATGAAGTACTGCTAGGTAGGGCCAGACATATGCGTCAATAAGAAGTAAAAAAAAAAATGTATTAATCATACCCTACGTAAGAACCCATTTTAGTATAAACCAAGTATATGTGGCGTATTAGAGGTGGGAATCTCTAGGCACCTCATGATTCGATTTGATTATGATTCATAGGGCTGCGATGCGATTATAAAATGATTATCGATGCATCTTGACGCATCTTTTTTTTCTATACAGAATTTCTATTTTCTCACTGTCTGAGGACTTGGAACTTTTAAATTGAAGTATTTGTAATAGTCCATAATGAATTTACTTCCAATATCTTTTATTAATAAATCAAATGGAAGCGATATGGCAAGTCAACTGGAAGACTCTCATCCACTGCTCTTGTTTGGAGCACATGAGATGCAGGCTGCCACTCATCTGCAATAAAATGCGCAGTTACTGTGAAATAAGATTCTGTGACAATGGGTGTCCACACAGCAGATTACAGCTATTCTACCTGTTTTCTTCAGTGATTTCATAACATCGGTTTTGGTCCCGTTGTAGAGAATTGGGGGGAATCGCTGTGTCAGTAAAATATCTTCGAGACGGGACGCTGTATCTCAGCTCCGAAGTGTGCAACATAGCGCGAAAGCCCTGGTTCTCAACGACTGAGTACGGGTGCAAATCCTTGGCAATAAAAGTTGCGATATAGTTTGTAATTCGCATCGTGCTTTTCGATTTGGGTGGAAGCTCTGACATCGCTTTATCGATGGTCCTCTGGTTGGCAGCAACTACAACTGGGCGGAAAATGGGTGGAAACATTTTGTAATGTGCTCCAAAGAAGCCACAGTGCCTCCATACGCTAACTCAAGGGTCGGCAACCTGCGGTTGTTTTACTATCCCGAG